TAGGCTCGTGATCAGACACGCACATGCTCTCTCCTCCCTGGTTCTGAATCTAGAGTATCCATCAAGGTGTCGACCTGCCAGCATGGAGCTGCGGTCACTGCTTCTGCCAGCGCCACGGATGGGAGGTGGGAGGGGTGCACAGCGGCAACGATTTTAAGGATAAAACTCAGGATCTTAGCTGCTTATGACAAGCCCAGATGGCTGCACGCCCGGACCGCCCACCCCCAAGCCCACTGCCTTGCGTCAGTGTCGGATATTTGATGGCAGAGTCAGACAAGCCCCAGAGATCATCTGAGGCTTCCTTCACACCCCCAAAACACCTCTATCCAAACTGGTGTCGCACGAAGCTTTACACACCGCCTCTGCCTCCCCTGCCCCACAGGTTCTTGAGGAGGCACAGACTGGAGAAACGATTCTCAACTGGTTCTGCATCAGAGCTCCTTGAGAATCTGAGAGCTGCAGGCCACCTCTCTGAGAAAGGCACACATTCCCCAGGGGGGTTTGCAGCATTTTAAAGGGATAACCCTCATGGGCCCAAACTGATAAACCAGCCCAGGTCAGGCACCTGGTATTCCGGAGCTGAGCAATGGGCTGGACTCAGACTCCCCTGGCTAAGGACAGAGCCGGAATGAAAATGGATCAACACGTTTACAGATATGACGATGATGCCAATTGGCACACGGCCACCAAGCCAAGGACAATGTTACCCACCTGCCAAGTTCTACCAAATTCTCCTCTCCCCGTGACGAACCACAACAAATAAACCTATTTCCCACAACGAGTTATCTGCACATTTGAGTCACCTCCTGACAATCACCTTAGCAGCCCCAAGCACACAGCCAGCACAGCGTGGCTCAGTGTCCCCTTCAGCACCGCCACATGCCTGCCAGGCGACTGTTACAGTAGTGTCCCCTCGAGCTATTGCAACTAAAGCTGGACTTTATTCCAAATCTTCCAGCCCTCACTGCCCCGTTCTAAGTTCCTCCAGAACACTGTCTTTGGTCACTTCTGGCCTGTAAGACCATGCTCCAATAAAATTCACAACACAAAACTCAAAGACAAAGTCCATCTTCACTAGAATGGTTTCTCTGTCCCCCAAGCCCGCCCAATGCTAGGACCTTTTTCAGCTGCTCAGATCCCAATTAATCATCCAAACATGGTGGGGGGCAATGGAGAGGCATCCTGCCACCACGTCAACATGGGAAGGAATCTTCTTTTCCACGAGGGGTACCACCTTGACTCAAGTGTTTCAACTCCACTCGGTCGGAAGTCACCGCGGGACTTCCACAGTGCCTCAGCAGAGGTCACAAAGAAAGGTGGGGGAAAATGCTAAACAATTCAGCTGATACCAAAAGGGCTCTGGAAGAGAGAATGAAGGAGGGGAACACAGTGGTTAACTAAAAAACAGAACTGTACGATCAGTGCATGTGTACAGTAGGGAGAAAGAAATTGTGCTTTGCTGGAAACTTCTGCCTCGTCTGGGCCACACTTTCTCACGTGCTCCATATGGTTCATACAGATGTGGAGTATTTCTGTGCTATTAAGAGTTCATTACACCATAAATACATACAATTTTCACTTGTCAACTTAAAAGTAAAATTTTAAAAATATGTCATAGGCGGATGATTAGGGGGAAAGTGTCTAAAAAGACTCCTTAGGGTGGCGATACTGGGGAGAGAGGTGAGCAGCACTGGTCTCAACTCTTCAGGACACGCTTGCATACACTGTAGATGCTGAGACACTTCCTGTCCCCGAGGCTCTGTGGCCACCCACCCCCCCACCAGGCCTCCGACCAAGCTTCAATGAACGCAGTCAATTAGTGCTACTTTGACTTCTTGAACCTAGTTCCAACGTCTGCTTAGTTCTCTCACTGAGGGAATTAAACGAATCTGTAACATGTGTTAAGCATGAAAGTCATATTACAAAAATTATCTTTCTCCCCCAATTTTTTTTTATCGTGGTTAAAATCCACAGAACAGAAACTGGACACACCTGTTAGCGCACAGGCAGTGGGATTAAATGCACTCAGGGCCTTCCTAGCTGGCCAGTGGGCTGGTGTGAGGCAAAGGCACCTCCGATCAGGTCACAGGGAACCCCGCGGGAGGCCCAGGGGACCGCCTGGCTCAGGGACCCCCCACCCCCGCTCCAATTGCTGCAGGAGTGGCCTGGGCAACTCCCGCCGTGTCTAGGCCTAAGGGAAACGCGTGCAGATCTGCGGTCTCCTTCAAACTGTCCAGTGGGCGACTGCGATCTCGCTTCCGAGGTGGAGGGTGGTGTAGACGAAAGGGAAGTGGGGGCAGCCAGGCCCGCAGAGTGGGTCCTGGCCCTCCTCCCGGCCCGGCTTCTGAGCAGGAGATGGCTTCGGAACCCGCCGCCCGCCCGAGGCACCGACGCCTCCCCCGATTCCAGGGCGGGACCCCTGCGGGGCCCCCGGCTCCAGCGCTTCGGCGGACAGCACGCACCCTCCCTGCCGAGCCTGCGAGGAACACGCGCCGCCTTCCACTTTCTCGGGAGCGAGCCCCGGCTCTCCGGACGCAGTCCACACGCGCCAGCCCAGCACGAACCGGCCTCGGGCAGGGCCGCACCCACGCCCGGGGCCAGCCCGCGCCCCGCACCCCGCCTCCCGGCGCCCGCCCTGGGCAGGTGCAGGGCCTCCTGCCCTCCCGGGACCCCCGCACCTGGACCCCGCACCTGGACCCCGCGCGCCTCCCGCCCTCCCCGCGGACGCAGGAGCCTGAGGCGGCGGCCCGGGGACGCGGCCAACCTGGGGGAGAGTGGGGCGGGGGCCGGCTGGGGAAGGGGCCGCCCGGAGGCGGAGGGGGCGCCGCAGGAGCCCGGAAGCCCGCTGGCTGGGCCGGGGCGGCGGGGCGGGTCGGAGGCGCGGGCCAGGGCGACGACCACCCACCTCCTTGTCCGGGACCCACTGCGGCTCCTCCAGGCCGAACGGGCTTCCGAAGGCGCGGTGCTCGGGCACCATGCGCAGGCCGCTAGGGGAGCGCACCAGCTTCTTGGCGTCGCGGCGCGCGGACACCTCGGAGGACATGACGCCGCTTCAGTCTCTCGGCCCGCGGCCCCGCACCCGGCCCCTAGCCCAGCCCGGGGCACCGCCCGCCCCGCCCCGGTCCGCGCGCGGCTGACAGCACCGGCGTCCAATCGCCAAGCCCGCCACGGAACGCGGACTAATCGGAGCTCGAACTCCGCCCCATCGCGGCCCTCTCCAATCCGCGTAAGGGCACCGCCCCTGCCCCCCTGTGGTCAGTCACCAATCGGCGGCGAGGGCTGTCCCGGATGCGCTCCGCCCTTCCCAGAAAGATTGAGACTTTGGATTGGTTGGTTCGTCAGCCACGTCGGCGTCGTTTCGCCTCTGATTGGTGTAGCCCTATCAGGGCGCTCGGCGCCTATTGGAGGAAGCCGAGAGGGGCAGGACGGCGCGAAGAGGACTGCAGAGCCAGCGGTAGGTGAGACCCGCGGAACCCGGCTGCGGTGCCAGGCGGCGGCGGGGTCGGAGGTCGTGGGCGGCCGCGGACGTGAGGGGTGTGGCAGGGTCGAGGGGCGGGGGCGGCCGCGGGTCTCCATTGCCGGAGCCGGTGGGAGCAGGATGGCCTGGGGCTGCAGCTCTCACCCTGGGTGCCCCGCCACAGCTCGGGTCGCGTTCAGGCGCCTTCCCGGGGCAGGGCCGCGTGCGCTCAGAGCAGGGAAGGCGGGCTCCGGGGACCCCGGTGTGCGCGGGCAGGTGTCTGCTCAGGGGAGGCCGAGGTGGGCCCGCGGCTGCGCCCCCGGCCTTCGATGCCTTCGTTCGTCCGCCTGGGACTGCGCTGGCCTGGCATCGAAGTGGGAGAGATCTGAACAGTTATTTTAATGCTTTGATTTGGAAAGAAAATTTTAGGCCGGGCGTGGTGGCTCACGCCTGTAATCCCAGCACTTTGGGAGGCTGAGGCGGGTGAATCACGAGGTCAGGAGTTCAAGACCAGCCTGGCCAACATGGTGAAACCCCGTCTCTACTAAAAATACAAAAAATTAGCTGGCCGTGATGGCACGTACCTGTAATCCCAGCTGCTTGGGAGACTGAGACAGGAGAATTGCTTGAACCGGGACCCGGGAGGCGGAGGTTGCAGTGAGCCAAGACCACATTACTGCACTCCAGCCTGGTCTACAGAGACCCGTTCTCAAAAAGCCAAAAAAAAAAAAAAGAAAAAAAGAAAATGTTTATTCATCCTGCCTTTAATTCCTCATTACAAGGCATGAATTTTTATTGTTTTTTTTGAAATAGTCTCGCTGTGTCGCCCCGGCTGGAGTGCAGTGGCGCCATCACGGCTCAGTGCAGCCTCCACCTCCCGGGCTCTCAAGTAGCTGGGACCGCAAGCACCACCACGGCACCCGGCTGTTTTTCTTTTTCTTTCTCTCTTTTTTTTTTTTTTTTTTTTTTGGTAGAGAATAGGTCTTACTGTGTTGCCCAGGCTGGTCTTGAACTCGCGGGCTCAAGTGACCCACCGCGTTGAAGCCTGTGAGGTGGGGGTCCGTGTGGCTGGCTCTGCCCTCTCCTGTGGGCATTGGCGCTGCAGGGGTCCTTGTGTGTGGAGGAAATAAGGAGAGGACCAAAGTATGATTCCACGAATCACACGGTTTATTGTCAAAGAGAATTTGTTCTTGGGTTCACAGTGCTCAGAGGAGAAGAGAGGGGAGGAGGTGAAGACGCCTGGCGGGGAAGCAGGGCCTCCATGGATGGGGTGCATTTGCCGCAGGGAGGCGAGTGCCAGAATGGCCAAAGTCGTTGCTCCGGGGATGGAGCAGGCCCCTGGAAAATGAGATCTGGTTAGAGTTCGCAGTGTGCCTTAATAGCAGTGGAGAGTGTGGGAGCGGGAGCTCTCTGAGAGGCTGGGACCAAGGACCAGCTCCCAGGCCAGCAGGGTATAGCTTGTCTCAAAGCATCTGCCCAACCTTCAAGTTGATTTGTATTTTTGCAGCCCAGCAATCAAGGTCAGTAACTCACAGAGCAGGCGAGGCCACATCTCCTTTGGCAGTGTAGTGCCTTTCCTGGAGGTGGCATTCCTTTTTGATTTGCCTTCTGTGCCGGGGAACTTCACTTCCTCACTCTGGCCAGCCAGCAGTTTGGAGCTGGTTTCAGCGCCCCACCGCCCTGCCTTGGCCTGCACCCTGCCCCCCAAGGTGGCTTCTCGCCAGTTCCTGTCAGGCCTGCCTGGGCAACCAGGCCTGGGCACCTCCCTGTCCCTTGCTCAGAAAATCCACAGGCTGTGGGGCCCCGGGAGCCTGGTGCGCGGGCAGGAAACGAATCCTGGAGCACCAGCTTCCCTGCCCTGCCCGCCTCACGGGGTGCCTGGGGGCGTGCCTCAGCCTGCGGCTCCTGCAGTCTGTTTTCCACGCCTGGCCCTGAGCAGGCTGAGCATGGGCATGGAGTGACCAGCGTAATCGCATCCAGGCCAGTGCCACATTCTGTGTGGTCCAAGGGAAAGCCTTCTCCAAGTCCGTGGCCTGCCCTTTCCTCTGCTGGGTTACTGCCAAGGGCACTGGGCCTCACTGCAGGACATGGCCCTCGAGGCTGCTGCCTTCTGGTTTCCTGGTGCCCTGGACACTCTTGGTCTCCCCATTTGGGAAGCCGACAGAGGATGTAGAGTGGCCTGTTGGAAAGGCCTTATGTGATCCTGGGCTGAATCCCTGAGCAGCCCGCCGAGGCCGGAGGGGAGAAGAGCTGAGCTTCTCCCTCTCTGGGCCGGGCTCGGGCTGTGGAAGGGCTGCCAGCTCCCTTCCTGGGAGAGGCTGGGTGGGGTCCACAGTGGTCGTCCTGGAAGGAAGCTGCCTTCTGCTGTTGGCTGCTGAGACAGCTGGAGGCCACCGATGTTCGGATTCCCTGAGCACTCTGCCAATCCCAGACCCACCTTCCCACTCTTTCCAGAATCCCCAGGGAGACACTTAAAGGAAATTAAACTGCAGAGTGCAAGAGATGCTTCAGTCAAGTCAGCCAGGAACGCGTGGGTCATCCCTGAGCCCCAGAGAGGTGAGTCGGGCGGGGCCCTCACCTGCCGCAGGAGGATGGCCTTATTTCTAGCACTTCCCACAGGGAGTGAATGTGGTGGGTTTGGGGGATTTTTCAAATGCATCAGTGTCTGGAATGGGTTCTAAGCTGCTAAATCATTCTAATTCTTAGAGGTAAATTACAGACATGTTGCCCCAGATAGAGCTCGACAGCTTTCCCTGTACAGTGAAGTATCTTCCACCCGCAGTGACAGAGCCCGGATGACACGGACACGGTGGCTGCTGTCACTTCCGCGGTGCGTGCCTTTGACAGGCTTTGAATTGAAGGCAAGTGCTTCAGAATTTGCATCCATCGTTCTGTCTTTCCTGGGAAGTTATTCATCCTGGTGGGCAGCCCACCGACAGAATGGATTTAGATCTACTGGACCTGAATCCCAGAATTATTGCTGCAATTAAGAAAGGTACATTTATTTCTGTTTACATAAGGGGTGTGGGTGGGTCTGTGCACTTTACATAAGGCAGGTTAACAAAATGCTGGCTGGCTAAGCCTTCCTCCCTTTGCCTACCCTGATTATTACACGAGGGTAGGATGTACTGTGGGTTTTCAGGTGTGTGTGTGTGTGTTCTTAACTGCATGGATTTCTTTCAGTTACTTTTATTTTTATCAGAGTAATACGTGCATATTGTCTAAAAGGTAAAATGGAGCCACATAAAGTCTTTTAGTGTTTTGTTTTTTGTTTTGTTTTGTTTTGTTTTTGAGACGGAGTCTTGCTCTGTTGCCCAGGCTGGAGTGCGGTGGCGTGATCTTGGCTCACTGCAAGCTCCACCTCCCGGGTTCACGCCATTCTCCTGCCTCAGCCTCCCGAGTAGCTGGGACTACAGGTGCCCACCACCATGCCCGGCTAGTTTTTTGTATTTTAATAGAGACGGGGTTTCACTGTGTTAGCCAGGATGGTCGCTATCTCCTGACCTTGTGATACGCCCACGTCAGCCTCCCAAAGTGCTGGGATTACAAGCGTGAGCCGCTGCGCCCAGCCATTTTTTTGTTGTTTTTTTAAAAAATATTTACATCTGGGCTCCTAAATGTGTTTACGTTGTAAGGTTTGATTTGTCAGTGTTATTGATTATCCATGGACTTCCTATTGGGGGCGGTGAGGACTGAGTGTGCCTACACCTGTGTACCCCAACTCCCTCTTCCCCCAGCTCCCTGCCCATAGTTAGAACCTAGTTTGGGTGACATCAGCTGTTGGGGTTGTGACTGGTGCATACCTGGTGTGGTTCAACAATGTGGGGTGTGGGGGATCGTTTTCTTTCTTACAGCATCTTTTTTCCACGGAGTTAGCAAATGCTCAAAGCTTAGGCCCCACGTGCAGCCCCTGCCCCTGCTCTCCATGCCTGCAGCCCAGCTGTCGTCTGGGGACCCTCCTTCCATCTTCCATCCTCCCCCATCTCCCAGGGCCTCAGCTACGTGAACCTCAGCACACCATCTGTGGCGAGAAGCAGGAGTGCTCGTGGAGCTGCTACAGCAACCTGGTGACTGGGCAGGGCCTCACTGTCCTGCCCTTCCATCCTTGGCTGTTGGTTTTTATCCTCCTGTTGGTGGCCTTGTGATCACGGCTGCTGCCACAGCTGCAGACACGACGCTTGCAGACCAGGGACAGAGAAGGGGAATGGGCTCAGCCAGGGAGTTCCTTTCTCACCTGTGTCTCTTATCCAAAAACCAATGTTTCCAGAAGTCCCTGCAGACTTCGAAACTGTGAAAGGGGCTGGGGCCGTGAGACTTATCAGGGGAGCCGCCCCACCAGAGCCCCGATCCTGGCGAATCCTCAGGGCCCACAGAGCCCTCTGGAGCAGCCTGTCCACGGGAAGCCCTCTCTGCTGGATCTGGTGAAACCCAGGGGCGCTTTCTTCATCCCCACCTCTCCATCTCCTTGTGTTTTCTGTGTGGCTTTTCTGAAGATCCCACCAGTGGTTACTGTTTTCCAGCCTGACAATGGTTGTCTTTTCACTGCAGCGTTCGGCGCACCCATGTTGAGGGGGGTTCTGATGTAGCGGGTGTAAGTCTCCGTGGCCGGGCGGGGCCCTTCATCCACCACTGCTCCCTCTCGTGTGCGCTTCCTCGAACTTCCCTGATGGGCTGATCAGTCTGCAGCATTTGTCGTCTTTCTCCGAATTTGAAAGTAGAAAGTGATGCACTTATCTGAGTTCAAAATGAACTTTGCCCTCCTCCCCACATGGCAGGTCCTGGGGCTCTGCACCTCTGTAACTGACGCCGCCACCGTTCTGATTCGCACGTGCTCTGCCCCCTGCCCTGACTGCCCTGCACAGCCAGTGTTTGGACTTGGACTCTGCTTGCCTCCCAGTGCTCCACTCCCCAGGGCACGTGTCCTTGCCTGTGGCTCAGCCCGGCTCCGGGCCTGGCGGGCGGGTGCTGGAAACCTCGGTGTTGGTTTTTTGCTGCCCCTTTCTGGAGCACCGTCTCCAGCTGGCGTGGAACTGGGTGCCTGTCGTTTCTTCTTAGCACCTGGGACCTGCCCGACCCCGTCTTCTGGCTTCTGCCCCTCACATGAGGCTGGTGTCTGCCTGAGTGCCAAGACTCAGGGCGCAGTGCCCAGCGGCCCTTTCCCCTTGCCCGTGTGTCGGCCACACTCTGTCCAGGGTTTCCAGGGAGCAGGGGATCTGGTCCCTACCCACCTTGTCCCCAGAATTGGAAGCATGGTGGTCTCACAGTGCTCTTATAAAGCACCTTTTGTTGCTGTGTCACCCTGCATTATTACAGTCTGACAGTTTCCTGTGATTTATCTGTGTCATTTCAGCCAAACTGAAATCAGTAAAGGAGGTTTTACACTTTTCTGGACCGGACTTGAAGAGACTGACCAACCTCTCCAGCCCCGAGGTCTGGCACTTGCTGAGAACGGCCTCCTTACACCTGCGGGGAAGCAGCATCCTTACAGGTAGGTGGGTCCTGGCATCTCCCACCGGGGGTGACATGTGGCTCCAGCATCATGATCCCTGTGGTGCAGGGCATGGGGCTGTGCAGACTGCACCCAGGGACCAGCCTCAGGGCATGTGGCAGCTGCTCACGCCCCAGAGTTCCCATCTTGCTTGTCCTACAACCATGGGGCTATGGTCACAGCGTTGGGTCAGAAGATGTGTGAGGTGGACACAGAGGGGCTGTGAGGCCTCCTGGGGATCTTGCTCTGTGGGCCAGAGGAGGGGGTGCAGGAAGCAGGGGTGAAGTTGGCAGTCAGCACCCAGAGCCCTTCAGGCTCTGGCAGGGTGGGAACGGTGTGAGATGCGGCCCTGGCCACGTGTGGGAAACCAGGTCTTGGCAGCAGAGGGAGGTACCCAGTGAACCCCATGCGCCTGGACGGACAAAGTTTCCATCCTTGCATCTGATCAGGCCCCAGTGGGCAGCGGGGTCCGGGCATGAGCAGGGTCCTCCCTCCCCTGCAGGTGGCTCAGTGACCCGGGCCCCGAGAAGCATGCTGAACTTGGGGCTGCCGTGGTGGGCAGGTGCCACGGCCGCACACACAGTGCCGTGGGCAGAGCTCTGGGCAGTCCTCACAGGGTGGCCTGCTCCACCTGACCGGGATGCCCAAGGCAGTGTGCGGACTCGAGGGACGGGCTGCTCCTCCCGGCCCAGGCCCCAGGCCAAGAGCGCAGCCTGCACTGCGTGTCCCACCTTGAGCCTCCCCGAGGGGCTTCGGTGTCGTGGAGAAGCCTGTGTCGAATGGCTCGTCCAAGGCCCTTTAGCCAAGAGGCTGTGACCAGCATTGCTCTAGAATGGTGTCCGTCACAGAGCACTGACAGCATGGGGCGTGCACGTGTGTGCGCGTGCGGGAGCCCATTAAAGCTGCTTCAGAACTGTTCAGTACCCAGGGCGTCCCAGCTGGACGGAGCTGTGCCTTTTTCTGCACACGGAGGCTGTTAGGGAGCACCTGGGGGCTCTCTGGAAGCTTTGGCTGAAGGCATCTGGTGCCGCAGTCGCCCCATAGGGGGATCCCTGGGGGCATGAGATGGTGGCCCTGGGGCTCCCCCTGACTCTGCGTCTCAGGTGAACCCGCCCTTTCTGGCCGGGTCACCCCTCCCTGCCCTCAGCACCTTGCTCACCCCTGGTGACCACAGGCACCATTGCTCCAGCCACACTGCGCCTGGCATAGGCAGGCTGGCCGTGCCTCCCACAGTCCCCAGCTCTGCCCGCAGGCCCAGGAGAGCCAGGCCTGACACCATCATGCTTGCCCTGCAGCGCTGCACCTGCACCAGCAGAAGGAGCGGTTCCCGGCCCAGCACCAGCGCCTGAGCCTCGGCTGCCCGGTGCTGGACTCGCTCCTCCGCGGTGGCCTGCCTCTGGACGGCATCACCGAGCTGGCCGGACGCAGCTCGGTGGGGAAGACCCAGCTGGCGCTGCAGCTCTGCCTGGCTGTGCAGTTTCCGCGGCAGCACGGAGGCCTGGAGGCTGGTGAGTGGCCATGCCTTCCATGGGGTCTGGGCAGGTGGGCGGCCCCTGCTGTGTTTGGGACAGCTTTCCGTTGAGGTGGGGGAGTGGCCGCCTCTTGCACCATTCCTACCATTGTGTCTCCCTCCTCCTTCTGGTCCTGACTGCCCTCGCTCCTTCCAGAACAGGGAGGGGAAGTGAGGCTGGGCTCAGCTGACAGCAGGAGGGGTGGGAGGGTACAAACCCCACCACCAGGCAGCCTGCCCTGCATCCTGCCCTCAGCAGAGCTAGGCCAGGGGTCGCTGGCTGAGCACAGCGATGCCGGCCCAGGTTCCACACAGCTGCCAAGCCCGGAGTCCACAGAGCCAGCGGCACAGGGAGGGCAGCACGGCCTTTCTCCTGGGTGCCCCGCCGCCAGGCCAGGTATGCTCCTGGCACGTCCCCGTGAGCCTGTATAGCTCTGTCTGTGAAACAAGGGTTCCCTGCATTGCTGAAGCATTCAGAGCGTGCCTGCTTGGATCTCTCAGGTGTTAAAAGCTCATGCCGTTTTAAACTGAGCTGTGAGTACGAGAGATGTTTCTTAGTAGCTCCTTAACTTTTAACCCAGTTCCCTGGTGTCAACGTGCGATTCCCACACTGTCTTAAACTCCACGTGAACACAGAGTGGCAGCATTTTTCATTGGTGGCGCCTTGGAGTGCACCTGCTAGGCTCACTTCCCACACAGGGCGGGACCCCAGGCCCTGGACCCACAGGCTGCGCCAGCCACCTCCTCACAGGCCTGACCTGCCAGCGGCAGTGTGGCTGGGAACCTCACCTCTGCCACCCTCAGGTCAGTGTCATCCCCGGGACCAAGGCTGTGCTGTGCCTGCCTGAGCCTCCGTGCTGGGTGGAGGGTGAGGGGTCTCTGACAGCCCGGCTGGGGTCTGCTCATACCACAGGCGTTTTTGTCCCTGCAGTCCAGGGGAGGACACCCTCCTGTCAGGTGCCTGAGTCCCTGCAGCTGGTCTCGGGTGAGCCTGGAGACAGCCACAAGCCAGGAGGATAGGAGTTGGCCTTGAAAATGGATTCAGGGAGCTGCAGTGAGCTGGATCCGCCATGACTCCAGCCTGGAACAAGCAACCGCTCAAAAAAAAAAAAAAAAAAAAAAAAAAATGGGAGTCTCCCGCTTACCCCATGGAAGAGCTGCTGTGAGGTGGAGGTGGGACTCGAGCGTGCTCAGAACAGGACAGGAAACGCCCTCATTCTCCAGCATCCTCCGTGCCAGGCTTCATGCAAATCTGATTTGTGCAGTGACTCCCCCTGAGCTTCCACCCCGTTGGCCTTTTCAGTGAAGCCCACACTCCCCGCTACCCAGGGACACGGAAGCCTTAGGACACCCTCCCCGAATCCCCCGGCGGTGCCCAGCCCAGGGACTGCTGTGGGAAGAGAGCACAGTCCAGCCTTGCAGGCCGGGGGCAGGGAGGAGGCCCCGCCGTGACCATGTGCAAGGTCAGGGCTCAGATGTGCTTTTCTGGGGAAATGACTTCTTTTCCTAGATCCAATCTGAAGACCCTAATTTTGAAAAGAAAGTGGCAGGCAGGCTGTGGAGTGATTCTGAGTCCTGTGCTTAAGCTGCATGAGGCTCTCCCAGGCCTGCTGGGGCCCTGCCCACTGCTGGGCTGCCCACAGCGACCCTCCTGCCAGCTTCACAATGTCCCCATGGCTGTGCAGCCCCCAATACATGACCCCAACAAAAACAGGCTGCCTGGCCGGCTCCACCTGCTTCCGAGCCTTCCAGCCCAGCCTCTCTCCAGCCAACAGGATGGAGGAACCCCGGGGCCCCGACTTTCCTGTGGCCTCCTGACTAGGGGCACAGCCACGGCTAGGGACACTGGTGGGGAAGGGAACCAGCCACAAGAGACGTGGCCTCCCAAGGCAGTATTTGTACCTCCCTGGCCCCAAGTGGGCCAGATGCCTCTCAGAAGCTTAGTTCTGACACAGAATGGGGCGGGGGTTCCTGGGTGTCTACCTGGGAGTGTGGCCGCTGGGCCATGTGGTTTGTGTGTAACTCTTGAAGGAAGTGCCAGTTGTTTTCCGTGTGTAACTTTTTGAGGAAGTGCCGGTTGTCTTCCGAGCTGCACCACTTTGCATTCCTAGCAGCAGCGCACAGGGGTCGGGTCCGCCTTCTCCATATCCTCGCCAACACGTGTCTTTTCAAGCCGGCTGTTTGAACTGCAGAAGTTTTGAAAGTGGGAGAGGAAACACTTGCTCAGTGGGGGCCTTGAGTGTGGCCATGTGTCGGGGCTCGGGGCCATTTCCAGAAGGCGTTGCCCTGATGCTGCCACTTGCTTCCTGCCCCGCAGAGGGGGGACGGAGGGGCACGGGGGGAAGGAGGGGCGGGGTGGGGCAGGAGAGGCCTCCCATCTGTGGCCATTCCAGCCCAGGGCCCAGGACAGGGGAAGTCCTTGCCTGGGTGTCGGAAGTGGAGGCCCAGCCCGTATTCCTCCTGAGGGGTCACCTGGTCCTGAGGTGGCTGCCAGTGGGAGGGTGAGAACCAACACCAGCCTCTTCCCTCCCCGGGCCAGGGACAAAGAACCTGCAAGGGGCAGAGTTAGAAATGGTGGGAGACGTCTGCGCTTGATTTGTGTGGCAGTCACAGGCCCGTCTGGAGTCCCCTGGGCACATCAGGCACTCTCACTTCCCAGGAGCCGTCTACATCTGCACGGAAGACGCCTTCCCACACAAGCGCCTGCAGCAGCTTATGGCCCAGCAGCCGCGGCTGCGCACTGACGTTCCTGGAGAGCTGCTTCAGAAGCTCCGATTTGGCAGCCAGATCTTCATCGAGCATGTGGCCGATGTGGTGAGTGTGGGAGAAGCCGCGTGACACCCCTAAGGCAAGCTGTTCAGGACCACTGGGGCAGGTAACCACCACGGCAGTGAGGTCTCACAGCGGGGGGGGGGGGGGGGAGGCAGTGAGGTCTCACAGCGGGGCAGGGAGAGATGGGGTTCAGCTCTGAACTCAGCATGGGTCATGGGGGTTTACGCCCGAGGAGAAGGTGGGGTCAGAGGATGGAGAGTGACTGAGAGGAACTGGCAGGGGAGGGGGCTCTGGCTGAAGCGTCTTGCCAGGACCCTTGCTGAAGGTGGGCCATGGGGATCAGACTGCCCCTGGGGACGGTGGAGGATGGACCAGTCAGCTACTGAGGGCGACTGGATGTGGAGGGCAGGGGTCCTGCTACCATCTCAGTAGGGATTGCCAAAACTGGGTTTCACGAGGACGTGCACAGATGGGCCTAGGAGGAGGCTCAGGAGCCTGACGGCAGTTTGGCCAAACAAAATCCTGGCCAGGAGTGGCTGTGGGCCAGGCAGGCAAGGCGGCAGGCTGCGACATCCAGTTACGTCTGAATCTTAGGCAGCTTTGAAGCGTGTTCTAGAATGAGGATGCCCATATTCAGATCACCTTTCTTCATGATCTGAAACTCAGATGTAACTGGGTGCCTGTACACCATCTGTCAACCCTGCCCATGAAGACGGAGTGGGGTAGAGAAGTCCCAGGCGGGTGGCAAGGGCCTCCTCTGGGCTGTGGAGCCCTGACCAGCTGCCCTAGGAGACCACCGCCCTGAGAAGGATGGGACCTGCTCTCCAGGCTGCCGCCCTGGTGAGAGAGCTGTGTTGGTTTCACCCTTGCCTCTGAGGGGAAGACGGCCCTCACTGGAGGCACAGGGGCTCCACCTGGCCAAGGCCTGCCGGGCCTCCAGCTCACACAGGCGACCTTAGATCCTTGACCACTGCCTGGCTGCTGGCTTCCCTGCAGACACTGGCTGGGCTTGGAGGAGGGACCCATGGCAGGGCCTTCCAGAGAGCAGGGGCCACTCACGGGGGGCCAGTGGAGTCCGTCCTGCAGCCAGGAAGCAGGCGTAAGAGGCTGGGACGCATCCCTGCAGCTGGGGTAGCAGTGCTGTGAGCTGTCAGCACTTAGTTTACAGAGATCATCCCAGGAGGGAGAAGTGATGAAGTAGAAAAGATGCAGAAGGCCGGGCGCGGTGACTCAAGCCTGTAATCCCAGCACTTTGGGAGGCCGAGACGGGCGGATCACGAGGTCAGGAGATCGAGACCATCCTGGCTAACACGGTGAAACCCCGTCTCTACTAAAAAATACAAAAAACTAGCCGGGCGAGGTGGCGGGCGCCTGTAGTCCCAGCTACTCAGGAGGCTGAGGCAGGAGAATGGTCTAAACCCGGGAGGCGGGGCTTGCAGTGAGCTGAGATCCGGCCACTGCACCCCAGCCTGGGCGACAGAGCAAGACTCTGTCTCAAAAAAAAAAAAAAAAGAAAAGATGCAGAAGAAAAGATGGGAAGTTTGGGAGTAAACCCCTGACCAAAGGCAAATAAGGAAATTCCGCCCTGTGCAGGGGGAGCGGCTGCCATGTCCAGCCCACCCTAGGCGTGGCTGTGGTCTGGCAGAGCCGGTGGGCCTTCTCCCACTTCTTTTTATTATTATTTATTTGAGATGGAGTCTCGCTGTGTCGCCCAGGCTGGAGTGCAGTGGCGCGACCTTGGCTCACTTCAAGCTCTGCCTCCCGGGTTCACGCCATTCTCCTGCCTCAGCCTCCCAAGCAGCTGGGACTACAGGCGCCCGCCACCACGCCCGGCTCATTTTTTGTATCTTTAGTAGAGATGGGGTTTCACCGTGTTGGCCAGGATGGTCTCGATCTCCTGACCTCGTGATCCGCCCACCTCAGCCTCCCAAAGTGCTGGGATTACAGGCGTGAGCCACCGCGCTCGTCTGGCCTTCCCCCATTTCTGAGTTCTTATAGAAAAAACTTTGAAGTAAAGCATAAGGCATATAAACGTTTAATTTTCAAAAATGTACAATAAAATACATTATCGCACACAACATGAGGAAGTTACACATGGGAAGGGAGCCGTGGGCCCAGCTCATGCCCCAGGCCTCCTGGGAGAGGCCACGCTGCACCAGGGCACCAGCTTAGGCCCAGCCTCAGCCCCAGTCCCAAGGTCACGCCAGCCATGTGGTCATTAGTATCGTGCCCCACGCACACAGACGCAGGAGAAATGAGTGAGCACTGTGGCTCCCAGCCAGGGGCCCTCCCTGCTGCCCTGGCTGTCCCGGGCCAGCTCCGGGCCACACTCGGCAGTCCCATCCTGGAGCGGGGCCAGGTCGGGGTCACTGCAAGAGAAGACAGAAGGTCAGGGCTGGGCCACCAAAGCCTGATGGTGTTACCAAGTTCTGTTCTAAAAACAGCTCTCTGGGGAGCCCCCACCCCAAGTCTGCCTGGAGAAGAGGGTGTTGCTGGTTGTGGGCCTCCCTGGGGCCGAGGGGTCATGGGGGACCAGTGCATCTTTGGTCTCTGCTCTCTGGAGCACCAAAGGCCTGCATCTGGCACGGGGAAGGCCAGGGGTGTGGACACAGCCTTCTCTTGCATAAGCAGAGCCTGGTGCCGTTCCCACCCGACTACTCTGTGGGCCTTGGGCTTGCATGAGGGTGGGGCTCTCTGAGCCAAGCCCCTCTTGGAGGCCCAGCCGGGCAGCTAGCAGCAGTCACCACTTGCCCATCCCCAGTCCCCCCAGTCCCTGCACATGCGAAGTCCCTCCCTGGCCCAGCTGCCTGCTTCCTGGGGCTGCAGGCCGTGGAACTCACGTTAGCGGTGGCGTCTTCCAAGCCACTGCTGCTGCTGTCGTTTTCCACAAAAAGAGGCTCGGCCAGAGACGCCCTGGAGACGAAGCACAGACGAGTTTCACTCAGGGCGTGCAGGGCGTCTTCAGAGGTCCAGGCGTGACACCAGTGTGAGGCTGCAGACCTTGGATTTGAGGGGCAGCCTAGGGGCAGCTCTGGCCAGAGCTGCTGGCAAGGCCCATGGGACCTGAACTACCCTGCTTGGTGCCAGGAGCAGTTGTGCCACCCTCCCCCATCACCACAGCTCACCAACCTCTGCGGTCAGAGACCAGGCCAGCCATGCCAATGGCCGTGGCACCCACAGGCCACAGCGGCACCCAGAGGGAAGCCGAGGACACCTGCCTTCCCTGGGGGGCCCTCCCCTGGAAGCTCTCCTGGGAGCCGGTGGGCACAGGGCCGTTTCCACCCCTTGGCCAGGCCAGCTCAGAGCACAGGGCTAAGGCCTGGGTGCACGGGAGGCACTGGCCTTAAGGGTGTCTCCACCTACAGCCCCATCCTGACCCCCAGATGGTCTCCCAGCGTGCCCCACGCCTTGGCAGAGGCAGGCCAGGCCTGACTCGCCTGAGTAACGCCTGAAGGGCATTAGGCCCCTGCCTTGCTGAGCGTCCAAAGAGGGTGTGGCCCAGGTGGTCATGGCCACCACGGGCTAGATTTGGTGGCACTGTGGCCAGGTCTGGGTGGTCTGAGCACCTGGCATGGGGCCACTGAAGAAGAGGGCTGGTTGCTGCTGACCTGTGAGGGGGAGAGGGTGAAACCATGGCAGAAGGGAGAGCAGACCCCCACAAGGACTCAGGAGCCTGGGCAAAGGACGCCTCTGCAGAGGATGGTGTTGGCATGGCCAAGGGGTGACTGCCTGGGAGGGCCAGAGGAAGGACATGGAGTCCAGGGAACCAGTTGTGTGAGCCTGAAGCTTCTATAGTTGGAGACTTTTTGGGAAGAATACAGAATTGGGCTCAGAGTTTGGGGACTGCAGAGCCAGCACTGTCAGTCCCAGGTGGGGAGGAAGGTTTTGAGTCAGACGGTTGAGTGACACTCCAAATGGGGTCTGGTCACCGGGGGCCGGGGCCTGCTGGCCAGCATACACCATGGCCCTGTCCCCACAGGACGCCTTGCTGGAATGTGTGAATAAGAAGGTCCCCGTTCTGCTGTCTCGGGGCATGGCTCGCCTGGTGGTCATCGACTCGGTGGCGGCCCCATTCCGCTGTGAATTTGACAGCCAGGCCTCTGCCCCCAGGGCCAGGCGTCTGCAGTCCCTGGGGGCCGCGCTGCGTGAGCTGAGCAGTGCCTTCCAGAGCCCTGTGCTGTGCATCAACCAGGTGGGCACCAAGGCAGGGGTGCACCCGTGAGCTCGTACTTTTAGCCAGGATGCGAGAGCAGAGCCGGTCTGGAGGTGGGGCGGGTGGCAGTGCGGTGGCCCCCGGCCCCTGCGGGTAACAGCCTGTGCCTGCCCATCGGGAAGACCCGCGGCCGTTGCAGCTGACCTGGACTGTGCTCTTCCAGGTGACAGAGGCCATGGAGGAGCAGGGCGCAGCACACGGGCCGCTGGGGTGAGTGCAGCCGTGTGGTGCGTGCACCTCTGCGCAGGTGCCAGGGGCACAGCTGGGCCGAAGTGGGCGGGGGCCACCAAGCCTTCTGAGCACCAGCTCGCCTGCTTCCTGATTCTCAGGTTCTGGGACGAGCGTGTTTCCCCAGCCCTTGGCATAACCTGGGCTAACCAGCTCCTGGTGAGACTGCTGGCTGAGCGGCTCCGCGAGGAAGAGGCTGCCCTCGGCTGCCCAGCCCGGACCCTGCGGGTGCTCTTTGCCCCCCACCTGCCCCCCTCCTCCTGTTCTTACACGATCAGTGCAGAAGGGGTGCGAGGGACACCTGGGACGCAGTCCCATTGACACGGTGGCAGCTGCAGAACAGCCTTGCCTGAGAAGCCCTGACACATGGGGCTTGCGCCTTTAAAACGCTGTCTGCCTCGGCCGTGGCACAGCTGGGAGCCTGGTTCAGACAGATCTTCCAGGGCAGCGGTTCCACTTTCTCAGCCAAAGGTGGTGGCCACAGTCCCCCACCTGAGCTGGGGGAGCTGTTCCACCTCTCCCTGGGTCTGGGGACAGGCCCGGCTTGCTGGGCACCTGGTCCCCACCGCTGAGCTGGTCCTTGGGGACAGGTGATTCTCAGGGCTGGGGCCTGGGGGTGTCCCTACAGTGACTCCCTGGGAGTCCCCTGCTTCTGCTGTCCACATGGAAGCCCACCCGGGGTCGCGTCTTAGGCCTCAGGCCCCCTCAGCCTTGGGGCCCTGCCCGCGAAGGTCTCCCCTCCTACACGCAGGGCTGTCTTGACTCCCCCAACCCCTCAGGCCACAGCGGGGCTGCAGGCAGGCAGCTCCTCCTCACCCACCTCTGGGTCCTTGGATCCCGGGGGCCCCACCCCGGCACACACCGTGCCCCACAAAACTTCAGTGTGGTACAAGGTGGAGAAAGCATATCCCACCGACCTCCAGCTTCTGGGTCCAGGAGAGCCTGGGGTTGGGGGGGGCTGCCTTGACTCTAGTAGTGTGGCCTGTGCCAGTACCACAGCCAGACAGAGGGGAGCGGGCAGCGTGGGGCTGGCACGTGACAGGCTCGTCAGTCACCTGGGAACACAGTTCTGGTGAAAGAGGATCCAAGGTTGAGAGAAAGGAGGGTCCCAGTGTATCCTGGCCCCAGGGGTCTGGGCGTCCAGCTCAGCCCTGGCGTGGCTGGGCGGCACTCTGGTGGGGAGATGGCAGGACTCCGGGCAGGGCCACCTGCAGACCCAGTCCCACACTGTGGCCAGGCCTTACATCTGGCCAGAAAGCAGAGCCTCTCGGGAACACAGCTGGCTGCAGATGCTGAAATATCCACCCAGCGGTCAGTGGCGTGGCCTCCCCATGGGCAGAGTGGTGACCCCCTTGATTCCCACCCACCCAGTGCCTCCACGTGCTGCCTAGCACCGACCATGCCTTTGACAAATAAATGTTAAATGGATGCAGTTCCAGGACCTGCTTCTTGCTGTCTGCCAGGCACTGCTCTAAGTAATTTATGCACATTGAAGTACGTTCTCCTCACAACTCCTGCGGATAGGTACTGTTACTACATCTCCACTTGCAGGTAGGGGAATTGAGGCCCAGAACTGCTAAGTGGATTGACTCCTCCCACAACCCAGAGGCAGAAATTGTCACCCCCACCCCATGTGCCCAGGGTGAGCCTGTGGGTGCTCCTACAGTGGGGGGGGGGGCTGGCACTGGTTGGGGGAAAGGTAAGGGGTAGGCCCATACTGTGCAGAATTTTTCTGTTTGCCATTTTCTAGGGTGGGACAATCCGTTGAAAACCTTCACGTTATCAAGGTTCTCTGACCCTAAAGTTAAGAACCACTGGCATGAACATAGGAAAAAATTATTTTGGGGTTGGATTTTTACAAAACAGCCTTTCTGCAAAAGTGCAGGGATTCTACAACAGCAAATAAAACATTTTATTTCTGTAATTGAACATAAGCAATTCCAAATGCTTTTCTAGGCAAGACATGCCGGCGATTAGAAAATGAGACAGCTTAAAGACAGAGGTACATTTAACAGAAAACACACCTGGAAGCTCGGCCGGCCCGCCCATGCTGGTTCAGTTCCTGCCCTGGAGGGAAGGGGCCGAGGGGCTTCCTGTCCCAGGGAACTCCCACCACAGCAGTCTGCAGAAGGGCTGGCTTGGCCAGCACTGACCCAGGAGCACTGACCATCCCCTTAGGGAGGCACCACACCCTGGGAGCACAGTCCCTCTTGTCCCGAAGACCCTTCCTCAGGGACCACGTGCCTTGACCCTCACTGCCTCACCATATCATAAAACACTTTAAAACCACTTAAGTTCTTCCCCACAACGTTGGGGAACTAATTGTAAACAGAATACACGTCTACGTATCAGCCCTAAGACAGCTGGCCCCGCTGCACATGCAGCCGGCCGGCCCTAGCAAGACATGGTCAGAGCTGGTGAGTGCTCTACAGTATTCAGAAATCTGACAAGTGTACACACAGCTCACAAGTCAGTGCAAACAGAAGCTAATGACATCCTCCAAGAAAATTCCATACAGTTATGACAATGGAAAACCTGTTATAGATTGTAGCCGTACATTTTTAGCAATGTTTAATACATCTTACTATAAACACTGAATTTCTAATTACGTGATATTTCTAGCAGCTTAATCTAGAAAATAACGATGTGAATTCCTCCAGTACTGTAAACACAAGACCAAGTGCTGCCCATGAGAGGGCCCCTGTGCCACCCGCGGGCACCACCAGCCTCCGAGGACCCCTGAGCCGCACACTGCTGCTGCTCCAGGGCAGCAGTCATGTCACAGGACCTCCCCAGGGCCTGGTTTCTGCCACAGCTGCACCAACTACCCAGAGACAGGCTGTCCGCCCGCAGATCCAGACGCTCCCATGCCATGGTGGCTGGGACTGGGCGCTGCACACACGGCTGCCGTGGGGGGGGTGGGGTGCAGTGAGTATTTTGACAGCAACTCTGAAGAAACAGGTGCTGACTCTCACGTTGGGGGTCCCCTCACCAGAAAGAGAACACAGAAGGAGGGATGGCTGGGCCTACCATTTCTCTGCTCTGAAGGGAAAAATTCAGACCGCCAGATGGGAAATGGCTTAAATCACTGCACTTCTATTGGGTGGGGGGGGGGTTCAAACATCAAGGACTCAGATTCCCTTGCCACTTCCCTCTCTGAAACATGAACCTTCCTTTACGAGCTGGCTTCAAGGAGGCCTTCTGGCTTCTCTTATCCCAACACACAGTGCTCCCACAGCCACAGTGCTGCAGAGGCCACGTCGGCCCTAAGATCCCATGGCTGGACGCCAGAGCAGGCTCCACAGAGGCCCCACACAACCTCGTCTGCACCCATCAGTCTGAAGAGGTTAAAATTCAACTCCATATTCAGCCTTGTGTTTATTTCTTCTAAATGCCCTTTCTCCTTTCCAGAGAACTGTCACTAAGGGAAACTGTCTGGGTTCCAAACTCTGCTCAGCATCCTCACAGGGAGAAGGCACCCCCCACCACAAGGGAAGCTCCAGAGCCCTCCTGCCCGTCGCCTGTGCACAGACATAGCCCACTACGGGGGCAGCCACGGCACCTGTCAAAGGAAGCTGCTCTACACCCCCCTTTTTTGAGGGGGTGGCTTCTCACAACCCATCAAATTTTATATATTTATGGGGGTTTTTTTTGGTAGACACAGGGACTCGCTGTGTTGCCCAAGCTGTTCTTGACCTCCTGGGCTCAAGTGATCCTCCCGCCTCAACCTCCCCAAGTGCTAAGATTATAGGATTACAGGCATGAACCACCGCACCCAGCCATATATATGTACCATTTTTTCTTTTAATCCTATCCACTATTACAGAACCTATCAAATTTCCTTTAACACCTCTATGTAGCATTTAGAAAGTAAGCTGCTGACCCATCAGAATCTGCAAAAATGGAGTCAGGAGCCTCAGAAAAGGAGCCACGGCCACAGGTGAGCCGCTGGGGACAACACTGGCTCCATAGGGCAGCGCCTGTGCCAGGCGCTCGCTGACGACTACATGGAGCTTGTCTTACGGAAACAAATACGTTTTCACAAACACAGCAGTCCTGCGACATGAGACGGGATGAAATGAAATGAAACTTTTAAAGGTATTTTAAAGCCTAGCCTTATATCAAAACCCCAGGATGCTCTGTCCCCAGCCTTCGGCCCCGTGCCCCACGGGGAGCTTCCAGGGACTGAAGGCGACAAGTGTGAGCCTCTGCTGTGCCATCACCTGCCCTGTTACATGACAGCGGCAAGCTGACCTTTCACGGGATGGCCAGCGTTTCAGACCGCCCCTCTGTTCCGTAGCCTGGCTGGCTGGCATGGAGGTGGCGCTTCTGAGCGCCAGTCTTTGGAATCACTGCTTACCTCGGCATCTGTTTTGTAGGCTCTTTACCTATGGGCTAGTCTGTGGACAGCTAAGAAATACAGCCTCAGCACTGATTTGAAAAGGTTCCTGTCAGAGTCCACTGTGCTCCCTCATTCTATAAAGCTTAAGCTTTTAAAAAGTGAAACGCACATCTCTATGGGCTTCGTGTGCGGGGCCTCCAGGAGAGAACACTGCTCAAAAGGGGTGGGCATGGGGCCCAGGCCCCACAGGCGCCCAGGACCACGCCCGGGGACCTCGGAAACAGAGACCCAGAAGACGCTCCTGCCGGGAGGGGATTCACTCCCACTGACCAGGAGGTCCGCCACGCTTCAGGCTTTACTGCCGCAGATCACTAAATGCCTACCGTTCTGAAAGGGTACTTCATGTTTCCAGGTTCTTAGTTTACAGCCTTATTACAACATTATAATTTAGAAGAGAGTTTGGTGTCATGGCAAAAAGCTGGCAGGCAGGAAGTGCAACAGCATCCGTGAGCAGGAGCCGCCCCCCCGTGTGCTGAAGCCACCTCGGCCTCGCCTCGGCCTCCGTGCGCCAGCCTGGCCGGGTCGCGGTCGAGGCAGCTCCTGGCACTGAGACTGCAGGCCGGGTGACAGAATGCTGGGGCAGGGTCGCCCGGGTGTTTTGAAAAGGCACCTCCAAGGTTGGTGGACGTCACTATCTAGAAAGGAAGCCAAGGAGTGCGGCTGGCGCCTCCGGGCAGGGCGGTGAGGGGCGTGGCAGGGCAGGGCAGTCTCACACTCCCAAGGCAGGTTACCTAGCCCTGCCGGCCCTCAGTGGGCCAGGTCAGTGTGGCTGGCACTCAGAGCTCGCGAGTCGGCCAGACAATTATTTCGTTCCTGCATGAAAAAACAAATAGAAAAATTACACTTAACCAGGACTTCAAATGATGCCAGCTTCAAACGGCCTCAGGCCTAACAGTACCAGCTGCACAGCTAAATCTAGGTTGGCACTCGAGAGGCCCAGGGGTCAATGTGCATGTGGAAACTCCAAGAAACCAGAGGGCAAAACACTGGGTCAGCTACAGAACCCTGTAAAATGAAGAGACTTTCTTTCCTCTCGTCATTAGGGGTGCTTCAAGCAGTATGTCCAGCACCCTACAAGCCTCTTCAGCAGCCACCGAGAAGGGGGCTGGGGAAAAGCTTTCCTGAGGTGGCTGCCTCCCAAGAGTGATGGGGGACAGGTCGGGCCGCTGACCTGTCTGTGAGGATTAGTGGATCTGGACAACTGGGAGGGCAGTGCCTGGCCACTGTCGCGAGCTCTCAGCACCAGCACAGGGGCGGGCGGGGACTGCCAAGTCCCAACAGCTCGAGCTGCCGGGTGGGCTCCAGGCACCTGGGTAACAGGCAGGTTCTAGAGCAGCCACAGGCACCCGGCCACCCACTGCACTGACAGCCACACCAAAACGGCCTCCGTGATGGGGAAGGGAGCCAGTCCTTTCAGATGTGAACCTGATGTGTCTGTGTGAGATCCGGACAGCTTCACCAAGTGCTCAAGATTTTAGTGTCAGAGTGACAACGTGTTAGTCATCATGTTAATAAGGTTTTGAATACTTTTAAACTCTGAACAACAGCTTAAGTAGATAATTAATTATTAATAGTTATAAACTTAGGAGAGGCTAAAATCAAACAAACTAATACAAACTAGTAACTGGTCAAGCTTTGACAGTAGTTTAACAGAATAAATTAATTAGGTTACACTATTTTTAAAGACCATTTGAGATCATTAATTAATATTCTGAGAATGTTCACATGTGAACATGCCCATAATGCACATAACCAGTGGTGAAGCAGAATATTAAACACGACTGTCACAACTGGCTGTCCAGGAACAAACGTGGTGGTGGCCCCAGCCCTCTGCAGGAGCAGGGGCGGAGCAGGGACCGGGTGCGGATCTGCAGACCTGCCAGCGTGGTCTGGGCAGCCTAGGACACAACTCGGGGTAGGCTCCTTACTTGAAAGCGATCTTCAGCAGCCTTGCCACCCACGTTAAGGACATTCAGAGAGCTGGCACGCTTCATGCTGCAACCCGGACACGGACATGCAAGGACAAACGATCAGCACATTGGTCAACCAGCAACAGGAAGCACAAGCAAAGCCCCTCCAAGGCCTCTGTGACACTGGGGCTTCTCGGGACCTTGCCTTCATCTTGCTCGGGTAACAGGGGAGTCCTGGGTCTCACTCTATTTAGTGCCCAGGAGAAAAGACCACAGCTTCTCTGCATCTTTCACAGCAAAATGCTGCTTTTAAAGTACCATATGCAAACTCAAAGTGTCCTTAGACTCGCACTTTTAAAAAGTGGCTCATGGGGCCAGGCACGGTGGCTCACACCTGTAATCCCAGCACTTTAGGAGGCCGAGGCGGGCGGATCATGAGGTCAGGAGATCGAGACCATCCTGGCTAACACGGTGAAACCCCACTTCTACTAAAAATACAAAAAATTAGCTGGGCGCAGTGGCATGTGCCTGTAATTCCAGCTACTTGGGAGGCTGAGGCAGGAAAATCATCTGAACCCAGGAGGCAGAGGTTGCAGTGAGCCAAGATCACGCCACTGCACTCCAGCCTGGGCAAAAGTGAGACTCCATCTACCAAAAGAAACAAAAGAAAAGCCAGGCGCGGTGGCTCACGCCTGTAATCCCAGCACTTTGGGGAGACTGAGGCGGGTGGATCACTTGAGGCCCAGAGTTCACAACCAGCCTGGGCAACATGGTGAAACCCTGTCTCTACTAAAAATGCAAAAAATTAGCCAGGCGTGGTGGCACACACTGTCATCCCAGCTACTCTGGAGGCTGAGGCACAAGATTCACTTGCACCCAAGAGGCAGAGGTTGCAGTGAGCCGAGATCACACCACTGTACTCCAGCCTGGGCGACAGAGCAAGACTGTGTCTCAGAAAAAAAAAAAAAAAGTGAACCATCTGGGAGCAGAGGCTTTGCCTTCATCTGATGGTTTTCAGGGAGGGCGCTCAAGGGATCATGTCAGACTCATCACCATTAAGGGATCATGAAGAGACACTCAAAACTCACTGCTAAAAGAAGATGCATAAATATACTATTTTTTATCTTTCTATATTAAAAGCAGGGAAATCAACTTTATTGTTAGTAAAATAAACTCTGAAGTCAGTATTTCTCTACTTAGAAACCAAAATTAAAATAAAGTCATGGCTCTCCATTTAAAGAAATACAGGAATTTATACATATATTTACTTTTCCTCCCATCTGATGTATTTAAAATGCTTGATGAAATAGCCTATAAATTATCTATATCCCAGTCATAAAATGACTATCATTGTTCACCACCACCATGGATGGCTTTGAACATAAACTCACCTGAAGTTTTAAAGCTAAAGCAACCGATACTGAGGGTTACTTAAATTCTGAACGTGAACTGCATGCAACATGGACAGTGAACATGAGCACAGCAGTTCCTGGGCAAGCCAAGGATGGTGGCTGCGAGGCTGAGGCACAGCCTTGAAGGGTGACAGGGACAGTCTCACACAGGACACTGGGATGGGGCTGAAAGCCCAGGGCACCTGCCCGTGTGTCAGCAGTGCTGTGAGCACAGCGCCTGGCACATGGTAGATACTCAGCCAGCCCCTGCTGAACAACTGCACCAAAAAACCTGAATTTCCTTATCCCCAAGCAAAACTCACCCCCAAAATGTCCCAACCAGGACAAAACAAAAACATCCCAATGAAGCCCGCAACAGACATTGCTGGAGTCCTAAACAGGCTTTTCTCTACCTAGAACCACTCAAGAACCAAATATAAAATCAAACCAAATCACAAGTAAATTATGATCTGACATAATTATTCTTGCTATAAAGTGGCCATTAACTTTTTTTTTGAGACGAAGTTTCACTCCATCGCCCAGGCTGAAATGCAGTGGTATGTGATCCTGGCTCACTGCAACCTCTGCCCCACTGGGTTCAAGCGATTCTCCTGCCTCAGCCTCCTGAGTAGCAGGGACCACAGGCATGCGCCACCCGGCCCGGCTAATTTTTATATTTTTAGTAGAGACGGGGTTTCGCCATGTTGGCCAGGCTGGTCTCAAACTTCTTATCTCAAGTGATCTGCCCACCTTGGTCTCCCAAAGTGCTGGGATAACTGGCATGAGCCACTGCACCCAGCTGCCATTAACTCTCTTTAAAAGAGCTACACAACCTTCCCTCAAACCCTTTTACGAAACGAAAGAACTCAAATCCTCAACGTCTCTTCCTACCACTCTTGCAAACTGCCTTGTTTGAACACATGGCATTCCAAACCCTTCAGTCCAATAACTGTTAGGAGTCAGCCAAACAGCAAGCTGCTAACACCCTGGTCCTGCTACGTCCAGCTCAGCGATTCTCAAAAAGCAGCCCCGGGTCAGCAGCCCCAGCACCGTGGGAACTTGTGTGAAACACAAATTCTGAGGATCAGGGACTCAGGAATTAGAAACTCAGGGGTGGGGCCTCACAGTCTCCGTCTGAAAAAACCCTCCAAAAGATGTCTGAGACTACTGTCTAGTTAATAAAAACAGTCACTCTTATTTGGAAAGATTATGCAGTTGTATGCATTTTACGGGATGCAATTTCCAAAGTCATGTAGAAAACGTTAGTCCGTGCAAGCGTGCATCTATGTCACATGGTTCAGGCTGGCAGAGCTGTAGCCCCGTGAACACTGACCACAGTTCTAACCCTGGGGGCTGGTCACACACTGTTATATTTTTATCATGGCAAAGACAGAAAACATGAAAAAACAGAACAACTCTGAGAGCTATCATGTGGGAGTGTGGTCCAACTTATAACACTCAGCACCAGAACTGGACTCTGCACTTAAAAGGCTTCAAAACTTAAGAACCTCAAACAATGAGTGTGTTCCCCTCCAGGAATTAAATAATGTCCAGAATGCTCTCTCTGGGGCATCATGTAATTCCTGGAGGGGACCTGAGAGCCGCTGCGTGACTCATCAGATCATTCCAAGGAAGGGACACCAAGCAGCCACGCAGCCTGCTCAGACCCTCTCAATGCTGTAAGAAGAAACGTGTCATCTCAAAATTCATCGAGAGGCAGGTAGTAACCTATCATTTTGGTTCTGGAAATCTGTAAACATTTTAAAATAAGATCACTATTCCAAAGGCAATTTAGAATCTATTCCCCCCAAGTAAGAGTTCATTTGTTTCATCGTAAGCAATTTGCTACTAAATCCCCATAAACTTCCAGAAGTCCAGTCCTCAAATCCTGGGGTCTTCCAGGGAGTCTTCAGAATGAACATCTGTGGGGCTCCTAAAACCCCCTCTCCAGAAACGGGCTGGAAAACAGTTGTGAGAAGCTCCTTACAAAAGTCACATCACTCCTCTTGCCTCAGGCCTGCACCTCTCTCACAGCCATGAAGAGAAGTCTCCTCCACAACAGAGACTCCCACAGGGACACCAAGCAGACAAGAGGTGAGCCCTACCACCAAGGGGCTGGGCCATCTCTGGCCAATCCGCACCCTGGCCGTGTGTGGCAGCAGGTCTAAGGGCTTCGGTCATCAGGGATACTGAGAGGGATGAAAAAGTGGACATACTTTTTAAAAAATAGCTTTTAAAAGACAAAATAGGCCAGATGTGGTGGCTCACGCCTGTAATCCCAGCAATTTGGGAGGCTGACGTGGGAGGATCACCTGAGGTCAGGAGTTTGAGACCAGCCTGGCTAACATGGTGAAACCCCGTTTCTACTAAAAATACAAAAAATTAGCCGGGTGTAGTGGCGCGTGCCTGTAATCCCAGCTACTCAGGAGGCTGAGGCAGGAGAATTGCTTGAACCCAGGAGGCGGAGGTTGCAGTGAGCCAAGATTGTGCCACTGCACTCCAGCCTGGGGAACAAGAACAAAACTCCGTCTCAAAAAAAAAAAAAAAAAAAAAGGCAAAGTAACAAAACAACTGATGAGGCACATAACTTTAATATTTCCAGTATGTTCTCCAGAAAAACTCGGTTTCACCATCCTGAGGTGATCAGATTTCTTACAGAACTTAAAGTGGGATCACTTGTAAAGTAGTTTTACTAGGAATCAATCTCTAAAAAGTCGGTACCATTTAGGAAGTCAGAGTTACACAGAATGGCTGGCAAAAGCCTGCCTCATGAGAAATATGCCCAAGCCAGGAGCAGCTGCCCAGAGTGACGCTGGACAGTGCAGCAGGGGTGATCTGTCAACTCTGTGCACCATGTTAAAAACAAAGGATGTCTTAAGAACCAAATTCCTTTGACAACTTAAATGTTATTTTTCTAAAGACTCTAAGACTCATGACTCAAACCTTTTTTTAAACATATGAAAAGCCTAAGGTTTTGAAAATCTCCTTATAATAAAGTCTTGATAGTTCTGATGCTATTTGAAACCATTTTCTCCCTAGTATAATACCGTATGAGATTTAATATAGTTGTAGCTAACATCCGATTTATCTAAAAGATTAAAAATTTTAAAGAATTTAAACTAATGCTAATTTAAAAAACAATGCGTATCTAAAGTAAACAAGTTCAAAATGCTCAATGTTTTAATATAAATTCCCACTTTCATTGCTAAGGCTTTCTTAGAACATGTGACAGAATTTTAAAATTCCATAAATTTCCTTTAAAGGTATTAGCACTTCAGCCACTAACAGGAAGTTACCCAATTATTTCTGAGCCTGTCCTGGGAAAAACCTAGGTGGCAACTATGAAACCCTTCCATTGTGAGAGTGCGGGAACCAACTGGAGTGTCTTCCCTGTGTCTGTGGGTGAGGAAGGCTGCGCTAGGAAGAGAAGCGGCCCAGGGCCGGCGTGCACGGGAGTCGGAGAGCTGGAAGAGATAGTTACCCGGGGTTCTTTGGCTCACTCTCTCGTGAACTTCCTCCCTTCAGCTTCCTAACCAGCTTCTCACTGCTGCGTCTAATGGAAGCCCGGAGTTTGCTAAAGGAACCACTGCGTTTTAAAGATCCAGTGCCATCCTGAAAAAAACGTGAACAAATGTGAAGCTGCAGGTGGTTCTCCCTCCCGCCCACAAGAGCCACACTGGGTGCAAATAAGAGCGCCACCACGGTCACCCTGCTCGCCAGCAGCTCACTGCTGACAGTCTTGCAGAAACCACCAATTACCATGTACGTAAACATACTTTTAACTAAACATTATCCGCTTTTAATTTCATTAAAGATAATCCAATGATCATGAAAACCTTTAGACATAAGGAAGCTCATTCAAACAAAAGTGATCGCATCCCAAAAGCAATATGAATCCTACTGCTATTCCGAGACAAAAGCCGACACACAGTCTCAAGAAAATTAAAGCAGCTTCTAGGAATATTATCAAAATCGACTTCCACATTTAACAGATATGTAAGCATCTGGTCCAAGTAACACAGTAGAGGACCCAAACCATTTGGATCTGACAGAGGCTCTTCCTTTTAACAGTTTCGTCTAAATGCAATAGTTGGAGGTGCTGTTTCCTTCAGTAAATTTTACAGAACGGTTTCCTTAAATGTTAACTATAAAGGTGGCTGGAAAATTAAATAAAATGCTCATTCTATACAAATAACTAAAAATCCTCAGACAACCTTGTAGGGAGGAGAGTGCCCAGCTCTCATCTTAATTGATTCAGGTATTAATAAGTGAAATACTTGGCAGAATCTGAACATGAAAATAAAAAACACAGTGAAGAAAATGTGCAGACAGCAGCACTTCTTGGAAGGAATTCCTTGGTGAGATGAACTATCACCCCATGACCCCAGCAGCTCTGCCATGTGGCGTTTCATGGATAAAGAGTGAGAGAAGTTCTACCAAGCAGACAGACACCAAGACACAGGTCAGTCGGAGTGAGTTTATTAGAAGTTAGAAAGACACAAATACACAAATCACTGAGCACTTCAAGATTAGTAGAGAAAAGCAGAATGCCCGAATTCCACACACAGACTACACAGCAAATGCTACTGGGGCGTATCCTAGGGAGACCCGGAGTCCAAGCAGGAACCCCAGGGCTCTAAGTACCATGGGGCACGTGCGGCACATGCCTTGCTCTAAGGCTTAGTTACGTCAACAGGTCACCGTCATGCCATTGCAACAACACCTTGTGTGACACTTAACTACCTGTTATCAGAGTGAACAGCTAATCGCTCTTAATTTTTAAACTCGTGTATTACACAGTAAATGAATTTTATTAATACAATTTATATTACTAAGTACATATCTGGCAAAGCTACATGTATACAGAAATCAGGAACCCCCCAAAAAGGACAGCAGCACCGAAAGGAATGGCCAGTTCACAGAGAGGTGCAGCTCTGACAAGATCCTAGGGGGCTGCTAGACACAGCGGGCAGCACTGGAGAGAGAAGGGAAGCTGCGGGAGGCGCCACCCGTCATGCAGGAGACAGTGTGAGAGTCACGGGCGGCTAGGCCTGTCAGACAGAAAGGAGAGAGAAAACCCACGTGAAACCGCGGCGAGGAAAGGCAGCAGGCTCTGCATGGTGCAGCCTGGCTTACAGTATTTCTAGGTCACAAGTCTCAGCAGCCTTCTGAGTGGCTTTAGGACTGGGATGACCTTCTGCCTGCTTCTACCAGCCCAGCATAAAGCAGGTGCTGGGCCTCATGGTGCATTTCATAGAATTCAGACTGGTCCATTCCCAATGGTCAGCAAAGTAAATTTCAACACTTTAAGAGTAAAGATTGGCAATGTATTAGAAATCTCCTTGACACTTAGTGTAAAAGGCTTTACAAGTAACTGTACATAAGGAGATTATGCAATGAGAAACATAGGGACCAAAATAAAGGCTACAGGTATGACTTTCATTCTCTTAAAAACACATTTTAGACATTTCAGAAACTTTAGGAAACCACGGACTTTAAAAGTCTACAGCCCATTTTAAACATGCAGTTGATAATCCAAAAGAAAATTAATTTCCACAGGCAGCAATGCGTCCTGGGTCCTGCCAGATTGGAAAGCCGACGTCTCGACAGAAGCACCAGACGGCAGGGCCTGCGCCCCGCCCGCTCGGACTCACCATGGGACGCTGAGCAAGTCATTTAACCAGCCCGAGCTTCATTTTTCTCATCTTTAAAATGGAAAAATAACACTTGTTACCAACACCTCAAAAATGTTGGGAGGACAAGAAAACATAAGTTTTTGCTGCTCTTTAGAAAAAGGATGCTAAAATGCTAACACAGCGTCATCAACAGTGCAGCCCTTGCTGTTCATTTCAAAACTCAGTGCTACGCTACAGTAGTGTTATTATAATACACCTGAACTAAATACTTGGCAGAACGCAGAAGATTCATTTCACTCAGATTCAAAAGTATTTCATGTGACACACACACGCTCACTCATGCTCTCTCTCTCTCTCCCCACTCTGCAGCTGCTGGAGTAGCAAGCTGACAACTGACAGCTGGGCAATGGGCCCAGGAGTCCCAGAATTAGGGTCCGGCCCAGCTGCCTCCTCCTCCCTGAGCCTCTGCAGACCCAGATCAGCACCTGGAGTTGGCAATGGAGCGGGTCTGCCCCACTCTGAGTCAGTCGCCCAGGCTGGAGTGCAGTGGCCTGATCTTGGCTCAATGCAGCCTCCACCTACTGGGTTCAAGCAATTTCCTGCCTCAGCCTCCTGAGTAGCTGGGATTACAGGCATGCGCGACCACGCCTGACTGATTTTTGGTTTTTTCGTACAGAGGAGTTTTCACCATGTTGGCCAGGCTGGTCTCGAACTCCTGACCTCAAGTGATCCGCCTGCCTCGGCCTCCCAAAGCCCTGGGATTACAGGCATGAACCACCGTGCCCAGCCCTTAGTGTAATTTTTAAAAAATAAAAATTCATCTATTTCTAACAATATATTCCATTCCCCAATAATCCTAGGTAAGAATTTAGTGTATTTGAAACGTGTAGAAATCTTAACATGGGAGCAGTGTGAAAAGAATGGCAAGACGGAGAGAGGCTGCTTCAAAAGGCCCCAGCAGAGCTGGTGACCTGCAGACAGACAAAGGTGGTGCAGCTGGGAGGCGGACCTCAGGCTCCACCTGGGGTGGCTGTGTGTGTCTCCTCAGGCTCCACCTGGGGTGGCTGTGTGTGTCTCCTCAGGCTCCACCTGGGGTGGCTGTGTGTGTCTCCTCAGGCTCCACCTGGGGTGGCTCTGTGTGTCTCATGGGACCACCGTAAAGACAACTGGGTAATGATGAAACAGCCCGAGGGACTCCCACATTCCAACAGGGACCTGGTGCTAGTGGCTGACACATGCACATCACACCATGAACATGAAGCCACACAGACAGCAGTTGTAAGTGCACCAGTTTTATCCAGAAAAGGATTTGTGTGCACAAAGCAGCTGCACTTTCAGAGGCAAGACCATGAGAGAGAGCCAACTGAGGCTCACGGTGACAGCGGCTTCCAGATCTGCATGTGTCACACGAAACGAGGTCACAGAAGTACCGCTGTCAAGTAGTTTAATCACAGTCCCTACAGTGTGTACCTAAAGGAGAGAACTGTCCTTCCCTGGACAAACCACCCACCAGGTCGAGACCTCGATCCAGACACTCCCTGCACATTACCAGCATCTGTCACCACCTGCTTTCCTTCTCAGTTCTGTGTGACACCAACGCCCAGGACCCACAGGGGACGATTATCATTAATCAGTTTGTCCTTTCTTTGACCACATAACTCTGTTTTAAATGTTACTTATGAATATTTTGAAAAACTGATCCCAATATCTGGTGTATGTGGTTATTATAACTTAATCAAAAGCTGTCACATTCATTCCTGGCAGTCACTTCTGCTGAAGCTATGACTTCCCAACAGGGAGCACAATGTTTTTCCCTATGGTAGTAGTTTTCAACCTTTTAAAAAGCATTAAAATGCCTTTTAGGCTGATGCAGGAGAATCTCCGGAACCCGGAAAGCAGTGAGCAGAGATTGCGTCACTTAACTCCAGCCTGGGTGACCTCCGTCTCATATATATATATATGAGAAATTGAAATCACATTTTCTCACTATAAATATATAACAAGTTATTCTAATAAACGAAACCAGAACAATAAAGCTACCTTTATAAAATCCAAAAATTTGAAATCTGAAGTTATAGGTAACAGGGATAGTTGTTTTTTTTGAGACAGTCTTGCTCTGTCACCCAGGCTGGAGTGCAGTGGCGCGATCTCGGTTCACTGCAACCTCTGCCTCCAGGGTTCAATTCCCCTGCCTCAGCCTCCCAAGTAGCTGGGATTACAGGCGCCTGCTACCATGCCTGGCTAATTTTTGCATTTTTAGTAGAGACAGAGTCTCCCCATGTTGGCCAGGCTGGTCTCAAACTACTGAACTCAAGCGATCCACCAGCCCTGGCCTCCCAAAGTGGTGGGATTACAGGCATGAGCCACGGCACCCGGCCACAGGTATAGTCTTTTTTTTTTTTTGAGACGGAGTCTTGCTCTGTCACCCAGGCTGGAGTGCAGTGGCGCAATCTCAGCTCACTGTAAGCTCCGCCTCCCAGGTTCACGCCATTCTTCTGCCTCAGCCTCCCGAGTAGTTGGGACCACAGGCACCCGCCACCACACCTGGCTAATTTTTTGTATTTTTAGTAGAGACGGGGTTTCACCTTGTTAGCCAGGATAGTCTCGATCTCCTGACCACCCACCTCAGCCTCCCAAAGTGCTGGGATTACAGGTGTGAGCCACCGTGCCCGGCAAGGTATAGCCTTAACATTTACCACAACACCTGATGTATTTGTCTATTTTAACTTAATTGCATAATACTGAAAAAAATCTTGACGTACACAAATAAGTGACTACAGTGGTAACAGTTTGCTGTGCAATCTCAGGGAAATCTTCACTTAAACAGAAACAGCATGATAAACTTTGTTCTAACATCCATATAAAGACAAACTAATGTGCTGACCTGCACTGTGTTAATATCTAAATCAAACAACATTTAATATGGGCCCCTTTTATTGTCTCTAATTATCCCTCAATAAAGTTGACTAAAAATTAATACCTGTGTGCATATTGCCCTCACTACCTTTTAAAAAATAAGTCAGTGGTTTATGCCTATAACCCTAGCACTTTGGGAGGCCGAGGCAGGCAGATCACGAGGTCAGGAGTTAAGAGACCAGCCTGGCTAACATGGTGAAACCCCGTCTCTACTAAAAATAAAACAATTAGCCAGGTATGGTGGCGTACGCCTGTAATTCGAGCTACTCAGGAGGCTGAAGCAAGAGAATTGCTTGAACCAGGAGGCAGAGGTTGCAGTGAGCCAAGACAGCAACACTGCACTCCAGCCTGGGCAACAGAGCGAGACTCTGTCTCTGGAGGAAGAAAAGAAAATCACAAGTTGGTCGAGTTCAGCATTCTGCCTTCTCAGAACCTTAAGAGTTGTGGGGAGATCGGGTTGGGGGCCAAGGTCTTCCTGTGAAGACTCTGAGGCAGCCTCAGCCGGCCCGCCCAGTGAATTCACTCACTTTATCTAAGACTCCATCTGAAGACGGGGCTGCCTCCATGCGCAAAATGAGTTTAGGAACCACTGCACTGGACAATTTAAAACTCAGATTGTTTTGGTAGATCACCCATAGCCAACGCATCCTGGGATGAATTCCATCGAAGCTGCAGAGCTACCAAGTATATTGCTCACGAAAGGGACACACCGGAAACACAGCCTGCGCACAGCCTATGTAATCAGGTGTCCAGAGTGAGAAAGGAAGCATGTATGTAATCAGGTGTCCAGAGTGAGAAAGGAAGCGTGTATGTAATCAGGTGTCCAGAGTGAGAAAGGAAGCGTGTATGTAATCAGGTGTCCAGAGTGAGAAAGGAAGCGTGTATGTAATCAGGTGTCCAGAGTGAGAAAGGAAGCGTGTATGTAATCAGGTGTCCAGAGTGAGAAAGGAAGCGTGGAGGGAGGAAATCAGCAGGCACGCGGAGGGGCAGCTGCTTCATCCACAGCAGCGACACTTCCAGCCCGCGGGCCTGACGGGGACACCTGCACTCGAACCCGCTGCAGTGGACACGTGACGAGGACACCGGCACATGAACCCGCTGCAGTGCACACGAGCAGTTCTCCTTCCTCTCCATCTTTAAGATGGTAACAGAGCTCTGAATTGTCACAATTTTATCATCAGATGATTTCATGTCAACATGGACCTAGAAATACTGTCTCAAGAGAAACCTCCTCCAGAACTTCATTCAAGAGTATCACAATCTGCACCCTGGCTCCTAGAGCCTAGATAAAGGACTTCCCTTCTATACGAAGCATGCAGGTATGACAGCAACCAAGAGAAGAGTACAGTACACAGTTCTGACAGAATGCGGGCGACAGGGAGGCCTGCGGGCCAGGATTTCAGTTTTAGACTACTGCCCCACTGGGGCTGAGTGGGCAAAGCTGATGCTGATTGGTTGTCTTGGCACAGAAAAAAAACCAAAGCAAGAAAGCTGCCAGATAAAGACAGTCAAAGAGAATGTTCTCCCTCAAATTTTGCTACTAACATTTTTTATAAAATATTTATTTAGAATGCTAGCTCCTACCAAATTGCTATAGCTATAGAAAATCCTTAAAGAATAAAAGGATTTACATTATAAGAAGGCCCAAAACTACAATTTGGCAGAACATGTGTAGAATTATAACTAATCAAACTGCACTATGGCAACTTCAAAAAACCAACTGTGCCCCTAGATGAGTCAAATGCCGCCTTCAACTCTCCCTGACAAAAGCAAAATACCAAAGACACCAGCTTGTGTATTAAAAAAAAAATCCATGTGCTAAAAAATTCACTGGAGAAAAAATGTCCAGAAGGCCACACAGTCTTTGGCAACCACTGGATAAACAGCAGTGGTGAGGAATTTCCAGGGGCAAACCAGTAAAACCTAGAGGGGCCTGTGCAGCCTCTCAGGCACATGGGGGCTGGCAACCATGAAGAGCCCCAAAGATCTGGACACCCTCTCAGGTGAAATGCAGGACGCGCAGGACATCAAGAGAGCAGCTACCTAAGCTCTTGGTTCTGACCCGTTTTCTAAAAACAAATTCTACTAACACAGCATCTCCCTTTAAAGCATTTCAACTCATTCTAACAAAATCTAGAGCAGCCTGGTCAGTGAAGTTAGGAGCACTGGAGTTAGCAATGAAATGGGTGAGTTAAAGAAGCGAGTTAGTTACCTGCCACACTGATCCTGATATTAAAATGAAACCAGAGAGGGATCATGCTTTAAATAGCCAGGACACTCAATCAGCATTTAAGTGCTCAAAGTTAAGCCAAACAGCTTTCATGGATTCCTGAGAAGAAAATTACCACTTTAAACAAATAACAGACTTAAGTATTAGCAGAAGTAAAGAACTTACAGAAAGCTTAATTGGCACTTAATTTGACAAAAGCAGAAGGTCTAGCACATGAGACAGGAGGAAGGCCTGGCAAGCGCCACTTGGGGGCGCCTCCCGGAGCACGTGCCCGCTGTGTACTGTACTTACCCCGTTCCACTCTACGCTCATACTCACTTCCTCCCCTCCGTCAGGGCCACTCTCGTACTTGACCACGTCCACGTTGAGGCTCTCACGGCTCCTGCGCTTCTCCATGTTCTCAGGGTCATTGAGCACTTCCGCCACCCTCTGTTTGTGAACATTGTCAAGACCCTGTGAGCCAGGCAAGGGAAAATGGTTGGACCCATTAGCACTTCAGATTTTCTTAAGTATTTCTGAGATATTTGGCTAGAAAACAAAATACCAGTTCTTAATCACTGGAGGGAAAAAAACTGGAACAGTGGTTCCTTGGAGCGGGTGAGGGTGGAGGCGGGAAACTGGAGAGAAACACAAAGGACCCCTTAGGGGAACAGTGACGGGGCTTGGGTTGCACAGGGTGTGTGTCCATGTTCAATCATTCTGGGTCTGTATCTAGGACTGGAACGGCTGGGTCATGTGGTTTTCTAAGTTTAACTTTTAGATAAGCCATCAAACTTCTCCAGTGCCTGCACCATTTTACATTCCCACCAGCAAGAAGACATGAGGGTTCCAGCCTCTCCGCATCCTCACCAACACCTGTTATTTTCCATTTGTTCTCTTTTTTATTATAGCCAGTCTAGTGGGGATGAGGTAGTATCTCGCTGTGACTTCAGTTACTATTTCTATAATGACTAAAGATGTTGAGTGTCTTTTCATGTGATTGTTGACCATCTGTCTATCATCTTCAGTAAAATGTCTATTCAGGTCCTGTGCTCATTTTTTAATTGGGTTGCTTTTTTTTCTGGATACCAAAACCTTATGAGATACATCATTTGCAAATATATTCCCCCATTGCATGGGTGTCCTTTCACTTTTTCTTTTTCTTTTTTTCCTTTGAGACAGGGTCTCTCTCTTTGCCCAGACTGGAGTGCAGTGGTATCATCTAAGCTCACTGTAACCTCCACCTCCCGGGTTCAAGCGATCCTCCCACCTCAGACTACCAAATAGCTGGGACCACAGGCATGGGCCAACACACTTGGCTAATTTTTTTAAAAAATTTTTGTAGAGACATAGTGTCACTATGTTGCCCAGGTTGGTTTCGAACTCCTGAGCTCAAGGGATTCCCCCCACCTCAGCCTGCCAAAGTGCAGGAATTACAGGTGCTCACCACCACGCCCAGCCCCTTTCACTTTCTTGATGATGTCCTTAGATGCACAATAGTTTTTAACTTTGGTGAATCCAACAGATCTAGTTACCTAGTTTTTATTTTGCTGTTCATGCTTTTGGGGTCATATTCATGTTATTTTATTTTATTTTAATTTAATTTACTTTTTGAGACGGAGTCTCGGTCTGTTGCCCAGGCTGGAGTGCAGTGGCGTGATCTTGGCTCACTGCAACGTCTGCCTCCTGAGTTCAAGCAACTCTCCTGCCTCAGCCTCTCGAGTAGCTGGGACTACAGGCTTGTGCCACTGCACTGTATTTTTAGTAGAGATGGGGTTTTGCCATGCTAGCCAGGCTGGTCTCAAACTCCTGACCACCGGTGATCTGCCCACGTTGGCCTCCCCAAAGTGCTGGGATTCAGGTGTGAGCCACTGCGCCCAGTCTCACGCCTTTGGTTTTTTTTTTGTTTTTTTTTTGCTTTTTTTTGTTTTTTTTTTCAATTGAGACGGAGTCTCATTCTGTCACCCAGGCGGCTGGAGTGCCGTGGCGTGATCTCGGCTCACTGCAGCCTCCACCTCCCAGGTTCAAGCGATTCTGCTGTCTCAGCCTCCCGAGTAGCTGGGATTACAGGATTACAGGCATGTGCCACACCACGCCAGGCTAATTTTTATATTTTTAGTAGAGACAGGGTTTCACCATGTTGGCCAGGCTGGTCTCGAACTCCTGACCTCAGGTGATCTGCCCACGTTGGCCTCCCAAAGTGCTGGGATTACAGGTGTGAACCACTGTGCCCGGCTTCACGCTCTTTTAAACAATATAACTTTATTTGTTCAAACTAAAATAATCAACATTTTCTATTTCTAAATCAAGTTTTCAACAAAAGTCATGTAAAAGAGAACCATTAAATTCAAAGTTCCCAAGGGCCGGTTAAGGACAGAAGTATGACTGACCTGTTTACGAGACCTCATGGCAGCTTCTTCTAATGTTTCTGCAGCTTCAAATTTGCCTTGACGTCTGTAAAGTGCCCCAAGGTTTTTTAGAGTGGTTGTAACAGTTGGACTGTAAGAAAGCACATGACATATAGAACTGTGACATATAAGCTGTGAACAACCACTATCAACAGCACATAATCTAAAGGACTGACAGATTTATGTTTTGGCTTGACTATATTTTAACTTTCTCTTGTAGTTTTTTGAAACTGTAAAATTATGAAGAGTTCTTCCTTCTCAAGTAGCTCTGCCTCCTATGACCCTGGCCCTTCCTGTACACAGCCCCCTCAGGCCAGGCTAACACCATACTCCATCCAGGCTGAGGCGGCTCTCACAGACCACTGGCCACTCTGTCAACAGAAACTTCTGGGCCAGGTCTGTGTGGTGATCAGCATGCTTTCCCTGGAGACACCTTGGTCCGCACTGGCAATAATGACAAACAGTGCTCTGCATGGTGCTGCTCACGTGCTCCCGTCTCCCTCAAGTACAGGGGAGAAGAGAGCAAAGCAGACCCTCCCTATCAGTGGGGTGTGAGGGCAGAGGATAAATGCTTCATGTACCAGGGAAGCAATAAGCAGATGGCCGAGAGGACGGCTGTGTTTCTGTGTTCTTTTTTATTTTTCAAACTGTATAATTAGGCTTGATGTTTCTGCATTCTTGATAGAGCAGACTTATTAAAAAAAATTATAAATAAACCTAGATTCATTTTAGCATAGATAAGTACTTCGAGAGATTTCTGTTCACTTTCTTACAATAGGCATTTTGGGTACAGAAATAAGCTATTTTCTATGTCTCTGAAACAAGTAATCTATGGTAAGTGTTATGGGAGCCCTGGAGAGGGTTCCGAGAGTTTTCTGAAAATAGATGAATGGTAGGCTGAGTCTCAAAGGATGAGGAAAGTTAAGAGTGGAAAGACACGGTGGCTCACGCCTATAATCCCAGCACTCTGGGAGGCCAAGGTGGGTGGATCACCTGAGGTCAGGAGTTCAAAACCACCTTGGCCAACATGGTGAAACTCTGTCCCTACTAAAAATACAAAAATTAGCCGGGCATGGTGGAAGGCGCCTGTAGTCCCAGCTACTCAGGAGGCTGAGGCAGGAGAATCGCTTGAACCTGGGAGGTGGAGATTGCAGTAAGCCAAGATCGCGCCATTGCACTCCAGCCTGGGTGACAACAACGAAACTCCGTCTCAAAAAAAAAAAAAAAAAAGAGCGGAAAGGCAGTAAAACAGGTGGGCCACCTGGACCCAGGTACGGCAGCCATCACAGACGGCAGTCGGCACAGGCTCAGGCCCAAGAGGCAAGGCTCTAGGGCTGGCCATGGAGGGGCCTACACTTCCCTCTACAGAGGACAAGGCCCCATGGGCCATGAGGAAAAGAAGCGTGTGTGGATCTGTGTCTCCAGTGCTGTGTGTGAGGGGCTGGCCTTCCCAGGCCCGCTGGCACGCTTGTCATGAATTTGCTGTATGGTTTCTACCATTAAATGTAAAAGTAAGGCAATTACCTTTGCACCAGCCTAATATGATGGTGGGTTTTATACATGTAAATGATCTCATTTACAAAGTTAGTGGGGTTTTTTACATTGGAATTTGGGAAAAACATGGGACTGTGCACTTAAGGAACACTATACATCGGTCATTTATAAGCTGCCCTGTAGAACACAATTACCTTCCCCCTGCTTTTCAGTTTTTCCAGCCAAACGCGATTCCAGACATACCTATCAACTTTGCAGGCTTTGTACCAGCCGCCATACTCTCCAAAAGACGTCCCATCCTTTTGCTTTCCCTAAATTACAACAAATAATTTCAAATGAATAATTATCCTGAATGCAGGATATACAATTTAGAAAATCTCAAAATAATACATTCTTACTTTGCATTCTTCTCTTTCTTCAGCATGCATCCAGATGGGTTTATTTTCATCTAGGGAAGAAAACACAGCATACAGGTTGAGCATCGCTAATCCAAAACTCCAAAATCTGAACTGCTCTAAGGGGAATTTCCTTTGAGGGTCAAGTCAGCACTCGAAAAGTTTCAAATGTTGGAGCACTTTGGGTAATGGATACTTAACTTGTACTACAAATGAAGGATAACAGAGCCTGCTAAGTAAAACAGAAGTCATTAAGCCTCGGTGGCTGCTTTTTTTTGTTTTGTTTTTTTTTAAGATGGAGTCTCACTCTGTTGCCCAGGCTGGAGTGCAGTGGTGTGCTCTCGCCTCACTGCAACCTCCACCTCCTGGGTTCAAGCGACTCTCCTGCCTCAGCCTCTGAAGTAGCTGGGATTACAGGCACCCGCCACCACGCCCAGCTAATTTTTTTGTATTTTTAGTAGAGATGGGGTTTCGCCACGTTGGCCAGGCTGGTCTCAAACTCCTGACTTCAAGTGATCCACCTGCCTCAGCCTCCCTAAGTGTTAGGATTACAGGCGTGAGCCACCACGCCCAGCCTGTTTTCTTTTTTATAGGATCCTTGTTAGATACTACTACTTACAGCATGGACAGATTAAGTTCACACTGCAGGAAAAAGTCTATGGAAGACAGAGCTGGACACCAAGCAACAGGTTAAGACACAGGGTGCAGAATCAATGTTCTGAGACAGGTGATCAACTGTCAAGACACCCCAACAAATGCTAGGACCCTGTAATGTAACCGCTAAAATGTTAGCTGCTCAAGTAGCACAAGGGAGTATTCAGAATGTGAGCGCTAAAGAAAAGCTTTAAACAATAGTCTAAGAAAAAGTAGTAAGATGTTGGTAGCAAAAGTAGAAAAGATATAAATCAAGGCTGGGCGCAGTGGCTCACACCTGTAATCCCAGCACTTTGGGGGACTGAGGCAGGAGGATCACCTGAGGTCAAGAGTTCGAGACCAGCCTAACATGGTGAAACTTGTCTCTACTAAAAATACAAAAATTAGCCAGGTGTGGTGATGTGCGCCTGTAATCCCGGCTACTCGGGAGGCTGAGGCAGGAGAATCACTTGAATCCAGGAGGCGGAGGTTGCAGTCAGCCGGGATCATGCCATTGCACTCCAGCCTGGGCAACAAGAGCGAAATTCCGCCTCAAAAAAAAAAAAAAGAAAGAAAAAGAAGGAAAGAAAGAAAGCATACAAATCAATAATCATTTTAAGTCATCTTCTCGGAACACTCACCCAAGTTTCTAGACAACGAACAGACCCATGCCATGGGGGAAAAAGCCATCTTAAAAATCATGTTTATGAAAATATTTTTATGACTGAAAGGTACTCACACTAAAAATGTAAAGAAAATAAGCAGTATACATGATGATATGGATGGTATGGTTTGAAATCTGTAAACCAAAGGCACAGAAGGAAGGAAAGACATTAAAAATGTGAAAAGATGGATTTGGGTGATTCTCTTCTTTCCATTTCTGCATGAATTGGGTAGGTCTCTGCAGTGAGGACGTGAAGATGGATGTGGGTGATGCTCCCGTCTCCATTTCTGTGTGAATTGTGTAAGTCTCTGCAATGAGGACATGATATGGGCTCTGGGCACTGCAATCCCAGTCTAACTGCTTCTCAGTTACAAGGCCTCATGCAAGTCACTTAGTCTGTGGCGTCCTTGCTGCTGCTGCTTTTTTTTTTTTTTTTGAGACGGAGTCTCGCTCTGTTGCCCAGGCTGGAGTGCAGTGGTGCGATCTTGGCTCACTGCAAGCTCCGCCTCCCGGGTTCATGCCATTCTCCTGCCTCAGCCTCCTGAGTAGCTGGGACTATAGTACAGGCACCCACCACCACGCCCAGCTAATTTTTTGTATTTTTAGTACAGACGGGGTTTCGCGATGTTGGCCAGGATGGTCTCGATTTCCTGACCTCGTGATCCGCCTGCCTCGGCCTCCCAAAGTGCTGGGATTACAGGCATGAGCCACCGCACCTGGCCTGTGGTATCTTTGCTTTTAAAATGGGGTAATGTTTGACCCGCTGCACAGGACTGCTGTGAAAGTCAAGTAAAATCACACATTTAAACTATTTAGCTTAATAATGTACACAGTTAAGTGCTTAATAAACAGTAACTAATACTATTAGTATATTATTAGTCAAGTCATTATACAATGAAATTCATTTGAGACAGGAGTATATTTCTTACCATCTACAGAACCAAACTCCCTTTCATGTGCACGAGTGAGAATCTCTTTGTACAGTGTTTCTGCTTGCTTGAACTTTCCTTGTTTCAGATAGCAGGATGCCTTAAAATAAAATAAAATATTTCTTATCTTTCAGATGTAAATAAAGCATAATTTTAACCTACAGTTAAAGAAGTATTTGGGCTTGGGAAGAAAGCACTCCTGGCCACCTCCCTAATGCTATGCCAGTCAACACACCAGGTTATTTTTTGTCTTAGCCACGTTGGGGTCATCAGGTCCCAGTTTTGTCTGGTAGATCTCGAGGGCTCTTTGATAATAATATTCTACTTCTTCATACTTGCCCTGGTTCTGGCACAGTAAGGCCAAGTTATTTAACTGCTTGGCAACATCGGGGTGATCCTTCCCCAAAACCTGGGAATAAAAAACAGTGTATTAGAGACACTTGTTCTGCTCCCATCCAATCCATTCTCCACCCTACTGTCACATTATGATCTTCCTCAACATAAGCACGACTGTGCTACACTTTCAGATTTAAATCCTTAACTGGCTCCCCACACCATGTAATAACAAAATTACCAGAATTTATCAAATTCTTTTTTTTTTTTTTTTTTTTGAGACGGAGTCTCGCGCTGTCGCCCAGGCTGGAGTGCAGTGGCCGGATCTCAGCTCACTGCAAGCTCCGCCTCCCGGGTTCACGCCATTCTCCGGCCTCAGCCTCCCGAGTAGCTGGGACTACAGGCGCTGCCACCTCGCCCAGCTATTTTTTGTATTTCTTAGTAGAGACGGGGTTTCACCGTGTTAGCCAGGATGGTCTCGATCTCCTGACCTCGTGATCCGCCCGTCTCGGCCTCCCAAAGTGCTGGGATTACAGGCTTGAGCCACCGCGCCCGGCCTCAAATTCTTATTTATGAGGGGAGGGAGGGAACTGTGCTCATTTTCTTTAGCTGCATTAATTATTGCAGTAATCCTTCACGGTAGGTACATTTTATGTACATTTATTGTACTGTGTACAAATGTACATATTAGGCACATTTTGAAGATAAGGAAAATGGGCTTTGTAAGGGCTATGTGAGTTTTACTGCCAGGTTCTGGAGGAGCCCACAGCTGTCCCAGTTGCCCAGGACGCTCTTCTCCTAGCCCTCCCCACTAGCAATGACTTATCCTTCAGGGTTCTCTTCAGTTCCCCTCAAACGGGACCTCCCTATACCAAATTAAGGGAGCCCTCACCCCACCTCACCTAGTGAACTCGCAGGCATATCACCTGGTTGTTCTTTCTTTGTAAGAATCACTGCTCTGAACTACCTTGAATATTCTTTATTACAATGTAAGCCCCAAGAGTGCAAATTCTTTGTCTCTTTTCTTCACCAGTGTAATCCCTGCATCTAAAAAGGTGCCTGGCACACAGATGGATGAATGAACACTAACCTCCTCCTTCAGTACCTTGAACAAGTGATGAGTTCTCTCTGCTTTGTGCCTTTACACATGTGGTCCGCAGGGAGGTAAGCTGCCTCTCTACTCCTTTCTGCATTCCCTACCTCTCCCTGCCTAGGACATTTTTAACTCAATTATTCAAGGTGCAGTTCCAACACCAACCTTCCCTGAGAAACCATCCCCAGCATCCCCTGGCTGTGGCCCGCAGGAACCCGCACTCCATGTCTTCCCAGAGCTCTCTATTCTAGACGCTGCTGTGCCCTCTGCGGTCCTCAGTCTGTCCAGTGGACTGTGTCCTGGTGGGAGGGACTACATCTCTGATCTGTAAATCACCAACTCTAAGCAGGGGGCTCGAAATGAATGAAAGGGTAAATATATGAATGAATTTGGCAGGTCATCTTATATGGTTCCTAATTCTTGATTTAGTACTTTTGTGCTGTCCCTGACTTTAACTCCAGCCCACCGCAAATTCAACCATTCTATTTCAGAAACATGCAGATTGACGGCTTAATGTTACCTGTATAATCTGATAAGGAGCCCCTTTTCATTCTTTCTCCCCCAATTCCTTGCCATGTGGCTCAAAATTAACTGATAAGAATCACTGATAAATAATCACTAAAAATACCAAGTTAAAATACCATTTGTGTGGCTGGGCGTAGTGGCTCATGCCTATAATCCCAGCACTGTGGGAGGCTGAGGCAGATGGATCACCTGAGGTCAGGAGTTCGAGATCAGCCTGGCCAACATGGTGAAAGCCCATCTCTACTAAAAAATACAAAAATTAGCCAGGCGGCCGGGCGCAGTGGCTCACGCCTGTAATCCCAGCACTTTGGGAGGCCGAGACGGGCGGATCACGAGGTCAGGAGATCGAGACCATCCTGGCTAACACGGTGAAACCCCGTCTCTACTAAAAAATACAAAAAACTAGCCGGGCGAGGTGGCGGGCGCCTATAGTCCCAGCTACTCGGGAGGCTGAGGCAGGAGAATGGCGTGAACCTGGGAGGCGGAGCTTGCAGTGAGCCGAGATCCGGCCACTGCACTCCAGCCTGGGTGACAGAGCGAAACTCCGTCTCAAAAAAAAAAAAAAAAAAAAAAAAAATTTAGCCAGGCGTGGTGGCACATGCCTGTAATCCCAGCTACCCAGGAGGCTGAGGCAGGAGAATCCCCAGAATCCGGGCGGCAGAGGCTGCAGTGAGCCGAGATTGTGCCCCTGTACTCCAGCCTGGGCGACAGAGCAAGACTCCATCTCAGAGAAAAAAAAAAAACAATTTGTGGTTACTCATCAGACAGACCTGATACCTCAATCTCTGTAACATCTGAAGAGACTGTCATACAGAGCACTGCTGAAATCAACAAGTTACGTTATATTTTTTCAATACCTAATTACCATAAACTGTAGCAGCTGGTATTAAATATACATGACATTGACTCAATCTATAGCTCTGAGTTAATCTTTAGTTATAATAATTATTTCATTTTTCAGCTTCATAAAGCGTATTTGGTAAATGTATCTTTTTTTTTTGAGACGGAGTCTCGCTCTCTCCCCCAGGCTGGAGTGCAGTGGCGCGATCTCGGCTCACTGCAAGCTCCGCCTCCCAGGTTCACGCCATTCTCCTGCCTCAGCCTCCTGACTAGCTGGGACTAGAGGCGCCCGCCACAGCGCCTGGCTAATTTTTTGTACTTTTAGTAGAGACGGGGTTTCACCGTGGTCTCGATCTCCTGACCTTGTGATCCGCCCGCCTTGGCCTCCCAAAGTGCTGGGATTACAGGCGTAAGCCACCGCGCCCGGCGGTAAATTTATCTTTAAACTATCATGGTTTTCTTAATGACAAGCACATGTTCCACTGTCAAATGCAATGCTCCCAGGCTTTCCATCTCTAGTCCTTAGACATGTCTTCTTCAATCAGAATCACTTCTAGGCCACCTTGGACGGCACCAGACTCAGGACTGCACCTTTCTAAATGCACACGTTTCATAACTGGACCTTCTTTTCTTTTTTTTTTTCTTTAGAGACGAGGTCTCACTATGTTACCCAAGCTGATCTTGAACTTTCTAGGCTCAAGTGATCCCCCCACTTTGGACTCCCAAAGTGCTGGGATTACAGGCATGAGCCACGCTGATTTGTATGGGCCAATCTGGCTTTTTGTGGGCTATTCGCTAATTAAATGAGTTGTTTCCAGCTAATAGTCAGTTAAAAACACATCACAGTGGTTATTTCTCAAAACCTAAAACTGAAAAATTTTTAAAAACACAAAAAACAGGGCTGGGCATAGTGGCTCACGCCTGTAATCCTAGCACTTTGGGAGGCTGAGGTGGGCAGATCAGGAGGTCAAGAGATCGAGAACATCCTGGCCAACATGGTGAAACCCCATCTCTACTACAAATACAAAAATTAGCTGGGCGTGGTGCTGCATGCCTGTAGTCCCAGCTACTTGGAAGACTGAGGCAGGAGAACCACTTGAACCATGGAGGTGGAGGTTGCAGTGAGCCGAGATCGCGCCACCGCACACCAGCCCAGTGACAGAACGAGACTCATCTCAAAAAATAAACAAACACACACACACACACACACACAAAAATCTCAAAGACGACGACTGCCCCCTTCTTTTGTACCTTTTCTCGGATTTCCAGAGCTCTTTTGCACAACGGCTCTGCTTCTTTGTACTTCCCTCTCTTACCATAAAGGACTGCAAGGTTATTCAAAGTCGCTGCCACCTGTCAACACGGAGAGAACCACTAAGAATGGTAAAAGATAAGCAAATACAGTACATTTATACACCACATACTCATTTATACTCAATCTATACAGTAAAGCACTCTTAGTCGGAGAGAACACTATGACTTCAGTTAAAAGGAAAAGCGCAATTCACTGGAGTATAGATTATACAAAGTAATACTGCAGACTACTAAAATTAAACACATCAACGTCAAAAACATAATACTGACTTTTAAAAAATTTCCCTGGAAGCCACAAAGCTAACCAAAACAGATTCATATGCAAATCTGACCAGATTTTAATGAAGACAATGTAATTATTCAGAAAAAAATTTCTAGAAGGACATGCAATTTGATTTACAATCAAAAAATAGTTGGTGATCCATGTGAGGAGGGGTCATAAACAAATTAGATGTGCTCTGGCCTATCACTAGCACTGAGTAAGTGAGGACCTCCTACCTGCACCATCTAGCGAAAAGGCAGTGCTTAAACTTTCCCTGTTGAGTTTAATGGTAAAATGAGTTGGATAAAAGAAATACATGGCGAAAATAAAATATAAAAAGAATGAAAGAACTTGATATACAAACCGCAGGATGATCTTTGCCCAAAGTTTTCTCACGAATAGCCAAGGCATCATTCAGTAGGTTAGCTGCATCTTTGTATTTATTCTGATCCCTAAATGGAAAAACACACATTAAGTGTTTTAGATAAGTGTTTCAGATGTAGATCACTACAGCTTTTTTTTTTTTTTCTGAGACGGAGTCTCACTCTGTTGCACAGGCTGGAGTGCGGTGGCATCATCTTGGCTCACTGCAATCTCCGCCTCCTGGGTTCAAGCAATTCTCTGCCTCAGCCTCCCGAGTAGCTGGGATTACAGGCATCTGCCACCACGCCTGGCTAATTTTTGTATTTTTAGTAGAGACGAGGTTTCACCATGTTGGCCAGGCTGGTTTCAAACTCCTGACTTTGTGATCCACTCGCCTCGGCCTCCCAAAGTGCTGGGATTACAGGTGTGAGTCACCGCGCCCGGCCTCATTACAGCTTTTTTAAATGTAATTTTCAACTACAGAAAAAAAAAGTTAAGCTTAAACTATTTAAGAGGCCAGGCATGGTGGCTCACGCCTGTAATCCCAACACTTTGGGAGGCTGAGGCGGGCAGATCACGAGGTCAGGAGACCAAGACCAGCCTGGCCAACATGGTGAAACCCCGTCTCTACTAAGAATACAAAAAATTGGCCAGGTGTGGGCGCGGGCGCCTGTAGTACCAGCTACTCGGGAGGCTGAGGCAGGAGAATGGCATGAACCCGGGAGGCGGAGCTTGCAGTGAGCCGAGATCACGCCACTGCACTCCAGCCTGGGCAACAGAGCGAGACTCTATCTCAAAAAAAAAAAAGAAAGAAAAACCACAAGCTTATGGGTGGGGGAAAAAACACTGGAAGGAAATCCATCAATAAACAGACTGGCAAGGTGAACTCTGGAAACAGACCCAACTAGCTTCCAAACTTGACCTTCCCATCTAGGCCACTGGGAAGATAATGCCCCACACTACAGTGTTGTCATGCCTATGCCAGTTGGCCAGCACAGAGTAAGTGCAACAATCTGGAATAATGGACCGAGCTTGCATTTGGTATCAGACAGAATTAATTCTAGTGTCTGAGCTTGGGCTCTGCCAGTTAATGGCTACACAGCTTTGGGTACATTAAGTGACCTCACGCAGTCCCAGCCTTCCCATCTACAAAGCAAGTATGTGATCTATTGGCACAGTCTTGCTATAAGATGATATGCTACATGTATACTGAAAAAGCCTTTTAAAAAACAGCAAACAAAAGTAAATATATTGCCGTGTCTGAATTTGGTACCCAATCTGCCTCCATTTTATTCAGTATGGAGGAATGAAGAATCTTTCTTGATTGGAGTAAAACAGCAACACCCCAGAACCAGGAACTCTCAGTTTAAGCATGCTACTCACTACTGATATGACTGAAAACAAGTATTTGCTTTTGAGACTTAGTACACATCTTTCTCAATTGAGTAGTAGTAACTGCCTGGCAAGGCTTTGCCCTGCAGAACGTGAGAAAGACTAATAAGGCTTCTAGAACCTCTGAAGCACACTAATTCTGGCCAAGTATTAATATACTGTTGTTTCTTTTTTCATCCTATTACATGCTATTGTAAGCTGCCTCAAACTTTTTGTGAAAGTCGGCAAGTACAAAATGGAGTTCCAAAAAGTAGTGGCCAGGTGCGGTGGCTCACGCCTGCAATCCTAGAACTTTGGGAGGCTGAGGCGGGCAGACTGCCTAAGCTCAGGAGTTCGAAACAAGCCTGGGCAACACAGTGAAATTCCATCTCTACTAAAATACAAAAAATTAGCCAGGCGTGGCCGCATGCACCTGTAGTCCCAGCTACTCGGGAGGCTGAGGCAGGAGAATTGTAGCAAATGCAATTTAAAAATAAGCTACCAAGGCTGGGCACGGTGGCTCACACCTGTAATCCCAGCACTTTGGGAGGCCGAGGTGGGTGGATCACCTGAGGTCAAGAGTTCAAGATCAGCCTGACCAACATGGCGAGACCCTGTCTCTACTAAAAATACAAAAATTAGCTGGGCATGGGGCAGGCGCCTGTAAGCCCAGCTACTCAGGAGGCTGAGACAGCAGAATCGCTTGAACCCAGGAGGCAGAGGTTGCAGTGAGCTGAGGTCGTGCCATTGCACTCCAGCCTGGGCAACAAGAGCGAAACTCTGTCTAAAAAAAATAAAAATAAATAAAATAAAATAAGCTACCTAAAGTGTTATGAGAATTAAACGAGGCTGGACACAGTGGCTCACCCCTGTAATTCCAACACTTTGAGAGGCCAAGGCAGGTGGGTCACCTGAGGTCAGGAGTTTGAGACCAGCCTGACCAAGATGATAAAACCCTGTCTCTACTAAAAATAAAAAAAATTAGCCGGGCGTGGTGGTGGGCACCTGTAATCCTAGCTACTCGGGAGGCCAAGGCAGGAGAATCACTTGAACCCGGGAGGCAGAGATTGCAATGAGCCAAGATGGTGCCATTGCACTCCAGCCTGGGTGACAGAGCAAGACTCTGTCTCAAAAAAAAAAAAAAAAATGTCCAGGCACAGTGGTTCACGCCTGTAATCCCAGCACTTTGGGAGGCTGAGGTGGGTGGATCACCTGAGGTCAGGAGTTTGAGAACAGCCTGGCCAACATGGCGAAACTCTGTCTCTAGTAAAAACCGAAAAAATTAGCCAGGAGTGGTGGCAGTCACCTGTAACTCCCAGCTACTTGGGAGGCTGAGGCAGGAGAATTGCTTGAACCTGGGAGGCAGAGATTGCAGTGAGCCGAGATTGCGCCACTGCACTCCAGTCAGGGGGACAAGAGCGAGACCTCATCTCAAAAAAAAAAAAAAAAAAGAATTAAATGGGATGAGATATACTAAGCACTTCTGTAAACAATGACATATTATAAAATGTCTGGGACTATTAATTAGCAGTGGTTCTCAGGTGCGGTCCCAAACCAACAGCAGTCAGCCTCAACTGGAACTTATTAGAAACCCAGAACTACCCTAGCCCTGCTGATCCAGGAACTCTGGGAGTGGGACCAGCACACTGCGATTTGTTAAATCAAGGGGGCTTAAGAAGCCCACCAAGAACTCAAATTCAAAAGAAAACAAAAATAGAATCCTAATGCATTAAAATCCTAACAGAAAAATGTACAAGGTAACAGGAAATTCACAGAAGGATGCAAATGATTAAAAATACATAATCAGAGAAATACAAATTAAAACACAATGCATACTCTACCTCCACCAACAGAACAGAGCCCCCCCACCTCCAGGGTGGCACCCGTGCAGCAGGAGCATGGGCAGGCACAGCCTTTCTGAGTGGCAGTTTGGCAGCAGGTACCAAGGACTATAAAATGTTTATACTCTAACCCGTCTTAGGAATTTATCCTAAAAAAAGAAATACATGGCTGGGCACAGTGGCTCACACCTGTAATCCTAGCACTTTGGAAGGCCGAGGAGGATGGATCACCTGAGGTCAGGAGTTTTGAGACCAGCCTGGCCAACACGACAAAACACTGTCTCTACCAAAAAATACAAGAAATTAGCGGGGCTTGGTGGCAGGCGCCTGTACTCCCAGCTATTCGGGAGGCTGAGGCAGGAGAACTGCTTGAACTCAAGAGGCTGACGTTGTAGTGAGCTGAGATCACTCCATTGCACTACAGCCTGGGCGACAAGAGCAAAACTCCATCTCGAAAGAAAGAAAAGAAAGAAAGAAAGAAAAGAAAGAAAGAAAAGAAAGAAAAGAAAGAAAGAAAAGAAAGAAAAGAAAGAAAAGAAAGAAAAGAAAGAAAAGAAAGAAAAGAAAGAAAAGAAAGAAAGAAAGAAAGAAAGAAAGAAAGAAAGAAAGAAAGAAAGAAATCCAGGCCAGGCGTGGTAACTTGTAGCTCACACCTATAATCCCAGCACTTTAGGAAGCCATGGCAGAGGATCCTTTGGAGCCCACGAGTTTGAGACCAGCCTGGGCAACATGGTGGGACGCCATCTCTACAATAAATAAATAAATCCAAACTCTTGAACAAAACTTATAAAGATCAGTAAAATATGAAAGGCAAAAAAAAAAAAGCTTAAAATTACATGTCCTCAATACAAGAATGATGGAATAACAAGCTGAAGAGTAGAACACTGAATATGAACACAGATGCAGCTACTGTTTTTCCCAAACATCTACGCACATGGGTCGGCTCTCACACTATAATGCCAGGGAACCACGAGACTGACGGAGGCCACGGCACCCCAGCACCCAGCACTGATGTGTGTGCCCATGCACGCTGTGCACAACAAAAACCTAGTTATGCTTACTAAACTCATTTATATTAATAACATCCAGTACTGTCCAGAAACTTCCATATGTTTTAATGGGCATGTAAGTTTTTTTAAAAAAAAGAAAACAAAAACGCTGGCCAAGTGCAGTGGTTCCCACCTGTAACCCTAGCACTATGGGGGTACCAAGCTTATCAGATCACTTAAGCCCAGGAGCTCGAGACCAGCCTGGGCAACATGGCAAAACGCCGTCTCTACAAAATATATACAATTTAGCTGGGTGTAGTGGTGCATGCCTGCGGTCCCAGCTACTCAGGAGGCTGAGGCAGGAGGATTGCTTGAGGCCAGGAGTCGGAGGTTACAATGACCCATGATCGCATCACTTTTTGACCCTGTCTCAAAACACAAATTTTGTTGGAATGAACTGTCTCAATCTATTAAGAGCTAAATGCAAATATCTCTGACTAAGAAATACCTACAGTGAAATATGCAAACAATTGGCCAGGCACAGTGGCTCATGCCTGTAATCCCAGCACTTTGGGAGGCCGAGGCAGGAGGATCAGTTGAGGTCAGGAGTTTGAGACCAGCCTGGCCAACATGGTGAAACCCTATCTCTACTAAAAATACAAAAGTTAGCCAGCCATGGTGGCACGCGCCTGTAATTCCAGCTACTCAGGAGGCTGAAGCAGGAGAATCACTTGAACTCAGGAAACACAGGTTGCAGTGAGCTGAGATCGTGTCACTGCACTCCAGCCTGGGTGACAGAGCCAGACTCTGTCTCAAAAAAAAAAAAAAAAGAAAAAGAAAATATGCAAATAATCTCAACATTCACCAACAGGAAAACAGTCAAAAAATGTCTAGAATGTCTACGAAACCCTAATGCATAGTCACAGGGCAGACCAAGCTGCTGACAAACTACAGAGCCAAAGGGCATGGACTCGTTTTAAATAGTGTTGTTGTAACAGGGGGCTTACTTTCTTATTTGTGTGTTTTTCTTTATTTTATCAACTTTCAAAACTTATTTTTAAAGAAATTACTTATGCGTGTGGGTAGCTGTATCACCGAATTTCTCTTCAAGCGTCATTATGCCCTGCAATCTCCTCTCCTTCCACACATCCTCCTTCTTCCTCAGGCTCCCCTCGTCCCACCCCCACAACCTCAATCCTGTCCCAAGAGGACACCCTGCCTCCAGCTCCAGCCCCCAGCTGGATCCTAGGCACTGAGCCAAAGGAACTCTCCTACCACACAACTCAGAGCCCACCACTCCCCCGGGGCATCCTTCGGCAGGGGTGAAAGAGTTAGAGGAGCACACAAGAGGCAAAGGGCAAGTTGAATCCTGGATTCCAAAAGGAAGTACAGCGTTCCAGGCCTCGGAGGGCAGGAATGACACTGCCAGGCCAAGTGGGAAGGCCATTTAGACGAAAGAAGCTGCCTGCACAGGGTCTTGTGGAAAAGGTCAAAACAGCGTTTGGCTGGTGTGAGGGATACACCGTGGGCTATTCTAAACAAGCTGAACTGAGTGGTCACGGGCAACGTCTTTTTTTTTTTTTTTGAGACGGAGTCTTGCTCTGTCGCCCAGGCTGGAGTGCAGTGGCCAGATCTCAGCTCACTGCAAGCTCCGCCTCCCGGGTTCACGCCATTCTCTTGCCTCAGCCTCCCGAGTAGCTGGGAGTACAGGCGCCCGCCACCTTGCCCGGCTAATTTTTTTTGTATTTTAGTAGAGACGGGGTTTCACCGTGTTAGCCAGCATGGTCTCGATCTCCTGACCTCGTGATCCGCCCGTCTTGGCCTCCCAAAGTGCTGGGATTACAGGCTTGAGCCACCACGCCCGGCCTCGGGCAGCGTCTTATTCTGATTTGGCGACACCCTTCCACAGAGCTTGCTAAATATTTTTTAATTTAACCCCTATTTAAAGAGAAGTGGATATGGCTGAAAAGTAGTTTATATAGATACATAAAAATATATTTTAAGGGGCAAGATGGTTAAAAACAATGTCTCTGGGTAAAATTCAGTAGGGAAACAAAAGTGACTAGCCTGTACACCAAGGCCAGGATGTTGAGCATGGTGGCCACGTCCGGGTGGTCATGTCCTGAAGTCTTCTCCAGGTCCTCCAGGGCCTGCTTGCAGAGGGGCACGGCTACCTCGTAGCGTCCCTGCGAGGCGTACTGGATCACCAGGTTGTGGAGTGTCCGCAGCCGCGCGGGGATCTCGTAGCCGCCCTGCTGGGCAGCCGCGGCGGCGCTGCTATGCTGCTGCTGGACTGCACGGAGAAAGTTCACTTCAGACGAGTTTTTAAAGACAATTATCCAGATGAGTCAGTTTCTTTTAAATTGTCTTTACTAGCTTTGGTTCAAGTTAGTACTTGGCCCCTAGTGCTATTTAAATCTTTTCCTAGTACTGTCTGGGCAGCCAGGATTAAGAGTAGTGACTATAGGGTCAGGGATGGCACCATGGCCCCTCAGTGCCATGAGACTCTTCTTGGCGCCATGAAACAAGCAGAATAAGTAATTCTGACCTATCTACCCCATAAGAACCTGCAGATCACACCTGAACTGCTCATGCCTGCTGCTGTATCCTAGAGTCTACTCTAACATATTCCTGTATTCCAACATACAGCACAAATGATTTTGGAAAACCAAAGGCAACCCTGCTCTGCTGGTGCTTCCTCCAGGCAGGCCGCATGCACTGAGGCTGCCACTGATTGTTGACTGCTATGACCCTGTTCTAGGGGGAAACACCTCTCTCCTGCACTCGGTAACATTCCCACATCACCCATCACTCACTTCCTTGCCCTGGGTCGTCTTCATCATTGGGGAAAAGGTCATCCAGAGGCTCTTTGGTAGAATCAGTGTCTTTGTCCTCCTATAAAACAGATCCAGGACAACGCTTCATCTTACAAGTACTATACACATCCTGTCCTGAAAATCTTTAATATTAAATACATTTTAATTAAGAATCTTAGAAAAGATGATCAGTTTTTAACATCAAATGTAGGATCACCCACAATCTGGCATCCATCAGTTGAACAGGAGTAATGAAAAGCTAGATAGACTAGAACACAAATACTTAAGTGCAGACCAGAGTTTGACGAAATGGGCATGGCTGCATTTCCATGCCTCAGATCCTTCTCCTGTGCTCTGAGGGAGGTCTAGGAGAGCAGGGAAAACCCTGACTCAAAATAAAATCTTATTTGGGAACCAAATATGTAGCAACAGATGAAAATGGTGCATCTCTGATCCCCAGAGAAGTGGAGGGGCTAGATGCCTCACCACCAAATCGGCTCCAGGGCAGGATCCCCAGGAGCAGTTTGAAACCTCCCAGCTTTAGAGGCCGGTGACCCATGTTTCCCCACATATTGCTGATTAGGCAAAGAAATAAAATCAGAAACTACATAATGGGAAAGACAGGTAACAGCCTGACCAGTAAGAAATTAGCTGCATCGGGCCAGGAGCAGTGGCTCACACCTGTAACCCCAGCACTTTGGGAGGCTGAGGTGGGCGGATCACAAGGTCAGGAGAGAGAGACCATCCTGGCTAACACGGTGAAACTCCGTCTCTACTAAATAACACAAAAAATTAGCTGGGCGCCGTGGCGGGCACCTGTAGTTCCAGCTACTCGGGAGGCTGAGGCAGGAGAGTGGCGTGAACCCGGGAGGCGGAGCTTGCAGTGACCCGAGATGGCGCCACTGCACTCCAGCCTGGGCGACAGAGCGAGACTCCGTCTCAAAAAAAAAAAATTAGCTTCGTCATGGGGCAGATGAACACTGTTTGGCTCCGGAAGGGAAAATGTGATAAAGACACATTGCTTTTAGAATATTCCTGTCTGGGATGCATAATCCAAGTATTAGACAAACCCCAACTGAGGAATGATGGACGAAGTAACTGGCCTGCATTCTTCAAAAACATCAATGTCATGAAAGACAACCACAGACGGAGGTCCTGTTCCATGTGAATGGCTACTCAAGAGATGTGACAGTCTCATGAAGGATGTGCCCCTGAACTGGGACGCAGTGAAACAATGCCATGAAAGATGCTGTTGGCAGCTAACAAAAGGGGAGTATAAGCTTCAGAGGAGAGGATATGCTGGGTCTGTGTGCAACTTCCTGAGTGCCCCTGGCCCTGGACTGCCACAGGAGAACCCCTCACCCTAGGGAAAGACGCCCAGCAGCAGTAAGCAGCCGTGGCACGTGCTATGCCACTCTGTGAACAGGGTTCAGAAGAAACAAGCACTCATAAGTACTCCGGAAAGGGTAAGGAGAGTCAGCTCACTGGATGTTTTCTCCAAGTTTAACACGTTTTCAAAATAATAAATTTTAAAAGTCTCCAATCCTACGAAACCAGCTTTCTCCTTCTCAGCATCCTCCAGTGTCCCAGGTCAATCACGGTTGGCATCGACGTCTGCAAGTACTCGCATTTCCATAGCACTCCAGAGCAAGCACATCTTTTATTTATTTATTTATTTATCGTTCGTTCGTTTGTTTTTTGAGATAGGGTCTCCCTCTGCCACCCAGGCTGGAGTACAGTGGCATGATCTTGGCACACTGCAACCTCCGCCTCCCAGGTTCAAACGATTCTCATGCCTCAGCCTCCCAAGTAGTGGGACCACAAGTGCACACCACCACATCTGGCTAATTTTTTTGTATTTTTTAATAGAGATGAGGTTTTGCCATGTTGGCCAGGTTGGTCTTGAACTCCTGGCCTCAGGTGATCTGCCCGCTTCAGCCTCCCAAAATGTTGGGATTACACGCATGAGCCACCGCATCCGGCCTTATTTTTTTTTTTTTTTTTTTTTTGAGACAGAGGTTTACTCTGTCGTCTAGACTGGATTGCAGTGGCGCGGATCTTAGCTCACTGCAACCTCCATCTCCTGGGTTCAAGCAATTCTCCTACCTCAGCCTCCTGAGTAGCTAGAGTTACAGGTTATGTGCCACCATGCCTGGTTAATTTTTGTATTTTTAGTAGAGATAGGGTTTCACAATATTGGCCAGGCTGTCCTCCAACTCCTGACCTCAGGTGATCTGCCTGCCTCGGCCTCCCTAAGGGCTGGCATGAGCCACCGCACCCAGCCACATCTTTTAAATCAAAACATTTAGTTGGCCCCTAACCTAGAGGAGACATGAGGGAGGAATATGGTAAGCCTCTTGAAACACCATGCTGTCAACTAAACTGCATTCTCCCCAAATTCCTATGTTAAAGCCCTAACCCCCAGTGTAATGGTATTTAGAGATGAAACCCTTGGGAGGTGATTAGGATAAGATGAGCTGGAAAGGGTGGGGCCTCACGATGGGATTAGTGCCCTTATAAAAAGAGACACCAGGCCGGGCGCGGTGGCTCAAGCCTATAATCCCAGCACTTTGGGAGGCTGAGACGGGCGGATCACGAGGCCAGGAGATCGAGAGACGATCCCGGCTAACACGGTGAAACCCCGTCTCTACTAAAAAATACAAAAAAACTAGCCAGGCGAGGTGGCGGGCGCCTGTAGTCCCAGCTACTCGGGAGGCTGAGGCAGGAGAACGGCATAAACCCGGGAGGCGGAGCTTGCAGTGAGCTGAGATCCGGCCACTGCACTCCAGCCTGGGTGACAGAGCAAGACTCCGTCTCAAAAAAAAAAAAAAAAAAAAAAAAAAGAGACACCAGAGAGCTTACTCCCTCTCTCTCTGTACCACATGAGAACACAAAGAGATGGTGGCAGTCTGCAAGCCAGAAAGAAGGCCCTCACCAGAACCGGACCCTGCTGGTACCCTGATCTTGGATCTCCAGAGCTATGAGAAAATAAATGTTAAGCCACCCAGCCTGTGGTATCTGTTACAGTAGCCCAAGCAGATGAAGACACAGGGGAATGTAGGTTTGCTGGTGCTACACATAAGACTGTTTCTGTAGTCTTAGAATGGGGATTCGAACCAGAGACACAAATGTGCACCTCTCTAGTAGTCTGATTATGTACATGAACATGCCTGGCACCATATAGGTATTTTAAAAATGTTAGTTCCAAATGCAACGTGGAACACTGGACTAGGTCCTAGCACAGAAAAGAGATACTAGTGGAAGGCCTGGTGACATCCAAACTAAGCTTGTGTTTCAGTTAACAGTAAAGTATTGATGTTAATATCTTAGTTCTGACCACTGGTCTACGATTATGTAAGATTAGGGGAAATTGGGTTATGGTTCTTCTCAAACTTTCCAACTTTTCTTTTTTTTTTTTTTTTTTTTGAGACGGAGTCTCGCTCTGTCGCCCAGGCTGGAGTGCAGTGGTCAGATCTCAGCTCACTGCAAGCTCCGCCTCCCGGGTTCCCGCCATTCTCCTGCCTCAGCCTCCCGAGTAGCTGGGACCACAGGCGCCGCCACCTCGCCCGGCTAATTTTTTGTGTTTTTAGTAGAGACGGGGTTTCGCCGTGTTAGCCAGGATGGTCTCGATCTCCTGACCTTGTGATCCGCCCGTCTCGGCCTCCCAAAGTGCTGGGATTACAGGCTTGAGCCACCGCGCCCGGCCCCCAACTTTTCAATCAATTTAAAATTATTCCATTGGAAACTTGAGAGAAGGGTAAAATTTTTAAAAATTAAAAATAAGTAAAATAAAATAATTCCAAAATTTAGAAATTTTCTTTAAAAAGAAGTTAACTGAGGCTGGGCATGGTGGCTCACGCCTGTAATCCCAGCACTTTGGGAGGCTGAGGCAGGCAGATCACAAGGTCAGGAGATCAAGACTATCCTGGCTAACATAGTGAAACCCTGTCTCTACTAAAAATACAAAAAATTAGCCAGGCGTGGTAGCACACGCCTGTAGTCCCAGCTACTTGGGAGGCTGAGGCAGGAGAATCGCTTGAACCCAGGAGGCAGAGGTTGCAGTAAGCTAAGATCATGCCACTGCACTCCAGCCTGGGCGACAGAGCAAGACTCCACCTCAAAAAAAAAAAAAAAAAGTAGTTAACTGAATCAGAAATAAATGTTGAATGAAAAATAACTGAGACCAGGATAAGTATCTAAATACAGCCAACAGAGAAAGAAAAAGGCTGGGCACAGTGGCTCCCACCTAGAATCCCAGCACTTGGGGAGGCTGAGGTGGGAAGATCACTTGAGGCCAGGAGTTCAAGACCAGCTTGGCCAAAATAGTGAAACCCCATCTCTACTTAAAAAAAAAAATACAAAAACTTAGCTGGGCATGGTGTCACACACCTGTAATCCCAGCTACTCCGGAGGCTGAGGCAGGAGAATCGCATGAACCCGGGAGGCAGAGGTTGCAGTGAGTTAAGATTGTGCCATTGCACTCCAGCCTGAGCGACAGAGTGAGACTCCGTCTAAATAAAAGAAAAAAGGCCGGGCGCGGTGGCTCAAGCCTGTAATCCCAGCACTTTGGGAGGCCGAGACGGGTGGATCACGAGGTCAGGAGATCGAGACCATCCTGGCTAACACGGTGAAACCCCGTCTCTACTAAAAAATACAAAAAAACTAGCCGGGCGAGGTGGTGGGCGCCTGTAGTCCCAGCTACTCGGGAGCCTGAGGCAGGAGAATGGCGTGGACCCAGGAGGCGGAGCTTGCAGTGAGCTGAGATCCGGCCACTGCACTCCAGCCTGGGCAACAGAGCGAGACTCCGTCTAAATAAAAGAAAAAAAAGAAAACCAAGATCCTTTCTTCCACTGCGGATATAGGAAGATAAGCCGGCAAGGGAAGCCAAGGGGAGGATGAGAGAGGTGGCAAGAGAGCCAGATGGTGTCTGGGGGACCAGGGTAGTTTCAAAGAGAATGGCAATGCCAAGAGCACCCACCGTAAGAGGCAGAGAGCTTGCCCAGAGTCTTTGGACCACTGCTAGACCAGCAGCTGATGGCACAGAAGCCAAGCTGCAGAGGGGCAAGGAAGCTCCGGAGCCTAAGCTGGGGCAGACCTCGGGGCAGACCTCGCTGAAGGTAATGGTGTCTCTCTGGACTGTGGCTTATATTTACAAAACATTTTTGCATGTTCTGGTCAACGTTCTAATATGAAAAGAATAAGGCGAACAGAACCTCTATGACCTGCCCCGGGACTCCATTTTAAACATCAGCACCACATTTGCCACAGAGCCACTCACGGATGGGGAAATGTCGTCGTCATATTTTTTTAGCTGATTCATAAACTCCAGATGCTTCTTCTCCTCCTCCAGTTGAGCCACAGACTGCTCGCTCTTCTGCAGTTTCTGCTGCGTGTTGGCCAATTCATCCCGTAGCCACTGATTCTCCTGGCACAGACGACGAACCTGCGCACGCAGTTTCTGCTTCTCGGACTCCACAGCATTCAGGTGATTTGACAAAGCCATCATAACCTGAGCAGACAGAAACGTGTGCAGCACTGTGGCACACTGTCCAGCAAGTGTCCCTCCCACCTGTGCGAACATTCTGTGGCTAGGGCTGTAGCTTACACTCGCAGATGTTTTCTCCAAAGTACATATAAGTACCATCTGCCATTTATTTCTCTTTTCCCCTTCAGCCACAGACTACATAACAGGATACGAAAAAGAAAATCACATGCTCAGAATGCCTACAAAAAAACTATTTATTTTTTTGAAGAGCATGTCAAATGAACTAGCAATGAAAACACAACTACCCTTCTGATGAAACTGTATTATTTTACTTTCTATCAAGATGGCCCCAACATAATTTTTATAGACCATTTCCCAGGTGTGAGGCCTTGTGTACACACATGCATGTCTGCGCACAGAGTGCAGGCTGGTGAAGGGCTGGAGGTGGAAGTCAGAGAACAGGGCACATACAAATCTTCCTCAGTGTTCCCAGGTGAGAGAAGACATCTCTGCAGCTACCACCAAGAGTAGGAACGCACTGGCGCACTCATCAGCTTATGTTTATGTCATAAAATCCAGGGAACGCTCCAGGGCTCTGCCTACAGAGTGCTCACTAGCTTCCGGAACAGACCAGCATGAAGCCGTGGCAACTTCCTAGGAGCATAAGAGCGGAAAGATCTAGGAGGAGCTGACTGGCTGCAATCCGTTCTCTCTTTAAAACATATATCTGCCCTTCCCTCTCATACATAATAACCAGGTTATTATCCTCCTAGGTTTAAAACCTGAAACTCCAGAAGGTGGGACTTTTTCTTCCTTCTTTTTGTAAAACTCTTATCTGCGACACCAAAAAAGCAAGTTTAAATTCATGTCACCTGTTCTCAGGATAACAGAACTTGAGAAATAATAGGTTCACGATATCCAAACAAAGCTACAGTTCTGCAACTCAAGTCTGTCACATGGTTAGGATGAAGACTCTAAAATCAGGGTGCAGGCGTTCACTTCCCCTGTGAAAGCAGAAACCACTGGCCAGCAGCCCCTCTTCTGCTCTATTCACTCACGCAACTAGAGAAAGCTAAGAAGTCAAGCGTTAGTATATTTAATTTTACCTAAGATATGCTGGCAGGGCCAGAAGTTATCAGGAGAGAGAATTTAAAAACCTAGATGTTTCCAGTGTTTTCATCTCTATGTCAAGCATGATATTATAGAAACAAAGGTTAGTCAAAGATATGATGCAATCTGGTCCTGGGATTGCAGAGACCATCACCTACTGGCCAGTGTCCGTTCTCCTTTCCTTCCTTAGGCTTGAGAACCTGCCACTGTAAGTGGGAAGACAACATTCCCCAGTCTCCCACTCACCCAGGTAGAGCCATGAGGTCTGGCCTATGAAATATAAGCACTGCTGTACACAACATCAAAGAAGCAGCCTTCAAGGAAGGAGGCACGTCCTTCCTTTCCCTTCCCCTATGCTAGAACAGGGCCACATGGCTGCCACTGGAGCTCACTCTCAGTCCCCAAGACAGGCTGCCAAGGTGTAGCGTGGCAGATGTTAGAAGCCTGAGTACCCCCGATGACTGTGCAGCTACAGAACCCATCCAGGATAGTGTACCTCAGTACTTGTTTGACAAACATCTTGTGGTTTAAGCCACTGTTTTTGTTTTTTTGATACTGGCAGCCAAATCAAATCCTAAATGATACATAGCAGTATCCACTATTTTGGCTCTGCTTTTTAAAATTTGGAGAGGCCCTGAGGTCAGGAGTTCAAGACAAGCCTGGCCAACATGGTGAAACCTCGTTTCTACTAAAAAAACAAAAAATTAGCCAGGAATGGTGGTACGTGCCTATAATCCCAGCTACTTGAGAGGCTAAGGCAGGATAATCACTTGAACCTGGCGGGTGGAGGCTGCAGTGAGCCGAGATTGCGCCATTGCATTCCAGCCTGGGCAACAAGAGCAAACACCGTCTCAAAAAAATAAAAAATAAAAATAAAAGTCAGAGTCCGGGCATGGTGGCCTCACGCCTATAATCCCAGTACTTTGCTGAGGCAGGCAGATCACGTGAGGTTGGGAGTTTAAGACCAGCCTAACCAACATGGAGAAACCCTGTCTCTACTAAAAATACAAATTAGCCAGGTGTGGTGGTGCATAATCCCAGCTACTTGGGAGGCTGAGGCAGGAGAATCACTTGAGCCCGGGAGGCAGAGGTTGCAGTGAGCCGAGATTGCACCAGCGTGGGCAGCAAGAGCAAAACTCCATCTCAATCAATCAATCAATCAATAAAATTCTTATGGGCCCAAATCAATAGTAATTAATTAACATACAGAACACACATGTAAGTGGATCTGGTTTTTTTGTTTTTTTTTTTTCTTTGAGATAAAGTCTTGCTCTGTCACCCAGGCTGGAGTGCAGTGGCGCAATTTTGGCTCCCTGCAACCTCTGCCTCCCAGGTTCAAGTGATTCTTCTGCCTCAAGCCTGCCTAGTAGCTGGGATTACACACGCCAGCCACCAGGCCTAGCTAATTTTTGTATTTTTAGTAGAATCAGCGTTTCACCATGTTGGCTAGGCTGGTCTCAAATTCCTGACCTCAAGTGATCCACCTGCCTCAGCCTCCCAAAGCGCTTGGATTACAGGCATGAGCCACCGCACTCGGCCTGGATCTGTTATTTTATAACCATCTTTCCTCTTCTTCAGTGAAACTGCTTATTTCAAACAAAGTCTCCATTTTACCAAACCATCAAAAGTTCTTGATGATGTCTGAGTCATTCTCGCTCATACCTGTGCCTCACTCAGGCCAAGCTCCAACATCTCCAGTGACTTCCGGATCATGTTTGATTTCTCCTCCACCAGGTTACTTTCATCATCTTTCTTCAAACACTTCAGTGTCTCCAGCAAACTTTGTAAAATGGAATTGTGCTCATTCTTCAAAGCTTCCAGCCCCTGAATTACTTGCTTTGTTTTAGAAATAATTTCATCCTGTGTAAGCTTCTCCAACTTGTCTTCCTTTATGTACACCATTGTGGACATGTTGTCATACATTCTGGAATGAAAAAAGAAAAAGAAATTAGACCCCTCATTACAAGTTCATTTCTGTTACATCAAGTAAACATGAAAATTTTTTAATTAACATTTTATAGAGGAATAATAAATATGCACATTTGTAATTTATGATCTTGAAGTACCACATTCTGCACTGTTTCTGTTTTTCCTTTGCAGACACATTTAATTACTTTTCTGGTTTATGTTTCCATTTTTTTTTATGACAGCAACTGAAATTAACGCCAAAGATTAAAAGCAGCAAAACATCTAAATGGCATTTCCAAAACACATAGCCTCAGTGAACAACATTTTTTCTCAAAATGTTTGCAAGCCTTTTTCTCTTCCTAATGAAATGCAGAAAGAACACTACATTCTTGGTAACATGTTTAACTGGACAAAGGCTTGAAAAGGAGTCATGCAGCTGGAAGAAGAAAGAAAAACCAGCCAAAGAACATGGAACAGGAAGAGCAGCAGGGGAGAAGCAGACCTGGAAAACACAGGGCACCAAGGACAGGAGCAGGATGGTCACCGGGCAGGCTCACAGATGAGGAGGGCACAGTGAAGCACCACTGGGGCCAGGCCCAGGGTGACGTGATGCAGTGCCTGGAATGGGCTTTCAAACACCCAAGTGAGAAAGAAAAGGGGGAGGAAAGGGGCATACAAAACAGCATCACTTGTGCTGGTGTGCCTGACAGCCACTGGCACTGAGCCATGGATTCCTCTGCTAGCCTCTCTCCTTTTTACTAAGTCTTAAAACTACATAGTTAAGTTTAAAAAACAGAAAGATAATGAGCAGTGATCTTTTCGGCAGAGTGACAGGGATGGAGGCGAGATTACACGTCAGAGTTATTTCCTTCATAACACTGCCACTGTCTGAAACTCACATTTCATGAAGTGTCTAATATCACTTTGAATATAAGCTCTTATTTTAAAAAAGGCAGGACAGCCGGGCATTGTGGCTCATTCCTGTAATCCCAGCACTTTGGGAGGCCAAGGCAGGTGGATCACTTGATGCCAGGAGTTCAAAACCAGCCTGGCCAACATGGCAAAACCCTGTCTCTACTCAAAATACAAAAATTAGCTGGGTGTGGTGGCACGCACCCGTGGTCCCAGCTACTCAGCGGGCTGAGGCACAAGAATCACTTGAGCCCGGAAGGCAGAGGTTGCAATAAGCCAATATCGTGCCACTGCACTCCAGCCTGGGCAACAGAGCAAGACTCTGCCTAAATAAATAAATAAATAAAAATAAACAAAATACAATTAGCTGGGTGTGGTGGTATGTGCATGTATTCCTTGCTACCCAGGAGGGTGAGGCTCAAGGATCACTTGAGCCCAGGGGTGTGAGGTGACTGTCAGCTATGATGGTACCACTGCACTCCAGTCTGGGTGATGGAGCAAGACTCTGTCTCTTAAAAAAATTCAAAAAAAAAAAAAAGGCTCCACAGCATCTAGGCGCAGCTCCTGCCAGTCCATGTGATGAATGGATGGACTGACAGACACTGGATGAAAGGAAGAAAGGCTGAAGCAGCAGACAGACTACATATTCCAGGATTTGGGGTGAAGCTATAAGTGCTTGAGAATAGGGTCACGTTAGTCTCTGCATCACCAATTTCACACTGGAAAAATCTTTTTTTTTTTTTTCCATAAATATGAAGACTAAATTCCTTTTAAAATTTGGAAGTTGTCTGTAGGACTATTCAGAAATCCACCTCCACTCCACTAACAAAGAGCCCAGAAAACAACAAAAGAACAAACGCCGGCCAGGCACAGTGGCTCATGCCTGTAATCCCAGCACTTTGGGAGGCCGAGGCGGGCAGATCACGAGGTCAAGAGTTCAAGACCAGCCTGGCCAATATGGTGAAACCCCCGTCTCTACTAAAAATACAAAAATTAGCCGGGCCTGGTGGTGCTCGCCTGGAGTCCCAGCTACTCAGGAGGCTGAGGCAAGAGAATCGCTTGAAACCAGGAGGCAGGGGTTGCAGTGAGCCAAGATTTCACCACTGCACTCCAGCCTGGGCAACAAAGGAAGATTTTGTCCAAAAAAAAAAAAAAAGAACAAAGGCTACTCCTCTACCTGACAGTATGTTAACTGCTAGTATTTATTTAACACATGGCTCTCCAGCTTCACTGTAGCAAATCCATGCTGTGTGCCAGGCTGGGAATATACTGCTGAATAATACTGCTGTGCTCCGTGAGGGACCTTGTCCATACTGTTCCATGATATATCCCCAGCCTGGCACTCAATACACATTCGTAAAATGAGTGAAAGAAAACACTTAAGGACCAGTGTTCAACAAACAAGATTAAAATGTACTAGGTTAACATGTTGATCTGAACATCTCTGAGGTTCCTATGAGCGAAGGGAAGGGTCTTCAGAAAGAGGAAAATAAAACTTAAGGCCTGTTTTTCCTCCCTGACAGCAAAGTATTTATGTATTATATCCAAATGATGCAACATATATTCTTTTATGTTTCCAAAACTAGCAGATGCAAGTGTTTTTCTAAAACTTACTCTGAGTTAAGTAAGCCCTGGAATGTACAGATTAATAAGGGCCTCACCCTCAGGGACATTCAAGCTAGTAGAAGACAACCTACACAAGCAGGTGCACAAAGACCTGAAGGCCCAGGGACAGTGGCTGTGTGGTGGAACACAGTGATGGGGGGCAGTGGAGTGGCCAACTGAGAGACGAAGGCCAGACAGAAGAAACCATTCCCAAGGGATGTTATCAAGTAGCACCTCTCAAGGCTAGTAAGGGCACTGCCAGCCCAGGGCAAAAGGCGAGCTGAGGCAGAGGTGTGACGGCACCCACTGCTGGCGAGCAGCTGCTCATCACTGCAGAGCCAGATCCAGTACCAGGGCTAGAGGAGCAGTGCAGAGTGACAGCACAAGAAACCTGCCCCCCAAGCGACCATGATATAGATGTTAAGTACACACGACACTTCTTCAGAGGAAAACAGACAGTGGCATATATATTCAGACTCGATGCCTCTTGCCATTTCTAGGCTAAGTCATTATAACCAAAGGCAGCTTATATTAATAAACAGTGCCAAGGCAACTGGCTATTTAGGAAAAATAAAGTTAAACTCCTATACTCACTATATACTAACATAAATTTCAAATTAATAATTAAATAAAAAAGAAACTAGAAGGAAATACAAAGGCCTATATGCATGTAGGTCAAACTAAAGAGCATTCTATGAATAAAAGTAATGGCAAGCTGGGCACAGTAGCTCACGCTTGTAATCCCAGCACTTTGGGAGGCCAAGGCGGGCAGATCACAAGGTCAGGAGATCAAGACCATCCTGGCTAACACGGTGCAACCTCGTCTCTACTAAAAATACTAAAAACTAGCCAGGTGTGGTGGTGGCTGCCAGTAGTCCCAGCTAATTGGGAGGCTGAGGCAGGAGAATGGCGTGAACCTGAGAGGCAGAGATTGCAGTGAGCCAAGGTCGAGCCACTGCACTCCAGCCTGTGCGACAGAGCGAGACTCCGTCTCAAAAAAAAAAAAAAAAAAAAAAGACTTCGAGACCAGCCTGGCCAACATGGTGAAACCCCATCTCTACTAAAAATATAAAAAATTAGCCAGGCGTGGCGGCGCACACCTGTAATCCCAGCTACTCTGGAGGTTAAGGCAGGAGAATCGCTTGAACCCAGTAGGCGGAGGTTGCGGTGAGCAGAGATCCCACCACTGTGCTCCAGCCTGGGCGACAGAGCAAGACTCCATCAAGAAGAGGAGAGGGGAGAGAAGAGAGGGGAGAGGGGAGAGGGGAGAGGGGAGAGAGGAGAGGGGAGAGGGGAGAGGGGAGAGGGGAGAGGAGGAAGGCAGACAGAGCGAGAGAGAGAGAAAGAAAAGTATAAAACTGTAAAAGACTGACAAGTCTACTTAAGACAGTTTTCAAGTTTGATGCAGAAACAAATAAAATATGTTTTTGAGGGAACACTGTTTTGCAGCTCATCAAGATGAAGAATTCAAAAGTATACAGGCGGCCGGGCGCAGTGCTCACGCCTGTAATCCTAGCGCTTTGGGAGGCCCAGGAAAGTGGATCACTTAGGTCAGGAGTTCCAGACAAGCCTGGCCAACATGGTGAAACCTCGTCTCTACTAAAACTACAAAAAATTAGCTGGGCGTGGTGGCAAGTGCCTGTAATCCCAGCTACTCAGGAGGCTGAGGCAGGAGAATTGCTTGAACCCGGTAGGCAGAGGTTGCAGTGAGCTGAGATCATACCACTGCATTCCAGCCTGGGCAACAGAGTGAGACTCTATCTCAAAAAAAAAAAAAACAAAAAAAACAAGTATACAGGTTACCAGCTCAAAGGGCTAAGTTACAGTTATACTGATATCTGAAAGGTAAAAATTACTCAGAATCTAAGTTGACTCAAACATTTTGCCAGCCTATAAATCACATCATCGCTGGACCATCTTCCAACTCTCATGCTCTGTATGCCTGGAGATGATTCAATGGAACAAGGAATCAGCCAAAACAATGCCTGGCACCCCACGGGCATGCAACAAAGATGCGTGCAATGAATGAATGAAGCAGCCCTGGAGCTACTGCATCTTCTTCTCACCGACCCTGGGGCGTGTTGGAGGCTCAATCTCCCTGTAAGTCAAGTGAAATGGATACCCACCTGACCTGGGACATAGTAGAGGCTCAAAAATACTCCCTTCCCTCTTTCCCTCTGACTGACACACAAGCTATCTGGCCCCAGGTTATTCTAACTAATAATTTTTTTTATTATGCTTTTATTCCTTTTAAAAAAAAAAAAAAGTCCTATTTAAGGTTCCATTATTTACTTTGTGAGACCAAAAGAACTCAATGCAAAATCTCCAGTGTAAAACCTGATAAATCCAACGTCTGAATTAAGCTCGCAAAACACAAGAAGCCCTTCTTAGGGTGAAACCTCTTTTTTTTGTTGTTGTTGAGACGGAGTCTCGCTCTGTCACCCAGGCTGGAGTGCAGTGGCCGGATCTCAGCTCACTGCAAGCTCCACCTCCCGGGTT